GTCTACCCTGGCAAGCTAGCGGAGACCTTTAGCGAAATTCTCGCCGGCGGGCCAGTAGAGACCCTTTAGGAATCTAGAACTAAGGCCTCCGGTCCAGGCGAAAAAGCTAGTGGGTAACTTTGGGAACCTGCACATCTTCTAGACGTTCAGCCGTCTAGAAGTCTATCAGCGATCTACGCAGACTAGCAGAGATCCTTCCGGAAATTCAGAACGTCCCGCTATACAGGCAAGCTAGCAGGGATCCTTGCGGAACCTCCTGACAACTTAGCAAAGCCCTTAACGAAGTTCAACAACTTCTAGACGTCCAGCCTCCCGTCTCCATCGTTTCAAACCGTTGGCTTGATGCCAGAATTCCTGTGGCCTGGGCCCGTGGGATCGTACAGTGGCGGGGGCGTCGATCAGGGCGGCCCTGTGGCCCCTTCTGATTCACCGCCGCTCGATTCGGCCGTTCCCGCACGCGCCAGCCACCGCGCCATTTCATTCTCGAGGTTCTCTCTCTCTCTCTCTCTCTCTCTCTCTTGCTCTCTCTTTCTTTTTCTCTCTCATTCTCGACCCACTGAACGATTCACACATACCAAATGCCCTACGGGCTAGGGCGAATGCTAAAAGGTGCGCCAAATCGGGACGGTCGGGGGCAGACAGTACGCTTGGTACCGGCACCCTAGATTGGATTATTAAATGGTGCTGTAGATTGACCGGCTTGGCATGTTCGAGCTTCGCTGGCTTAGGTTTCGGCTTAATTCAGTGTTAAAAGGTGTACTAATTCGGGCCTCGTACTTTAACAGTGTCAAAAGGGTACTGTAACGGGTTACTGTAGGACTTGGATAATTATTACAAAAGTTTTTGCCGCTAAAAAAGCGTCAGGAACCGCTGTCTCGGTAGAATCGCAACAATTCAACAGAATATTCTCATCCCGTTGAGTACGGTAACCGCTCCACGTTCGAAAACGTCACAAAAGTGTTCCCAGGGTTCCCATGGAGAGGATTTTTCTAATAGGCTTATCCAACGGCGTTCAGCGCCCGAGCCTCTTGGATCCGACTTTCATCTGCGTTCACAGGCCTTCAATCGGCTATCCCGAGTCACAGGTCTCTGCGGGTCAGTATTGTCGTCTTTAGAACTGTCCCGTAGTGCGGCATCCTTCTAGTTGCTACTCGCGCTCTCTCTCTCTCTCTATTTATCTCTCTCTCTTGCTCTCTCTCTCTCCCCTCGAAATCGGCTCCCAAAGGGGCATTGTTTAGGGTACGGGAATGGCTTTACGGTACCCTCTGTCGGCACCCTTTTTTGGCTGCCCCCGAGCACATGTTGACAAAGGGCCATGGCAGGTGAAAGTGGGGATGCTTTACCCTTGAGAGAGAGAGAGAGAGAGAGAGAGAGAGAGAGAGGGAGAGAGTGGGAGGGAGTACTACTTACCACTCTGAGAGAATTGGGTCCCTTTGGACCCACCGCGAAGCCGACTCTGCAATTGGGTGACTATTAATGGGAATGGGAAATGATGGGCTATGGGTTTTTTTGAAAGTCGGTTTCATTATTGAGGTTTGAAACTGGGGTAAAATTTGAATAGGAACATGAGCGAGAGCGAGGGAGGAAAAGGGGGAAGAGAGAAGAGAGAGTGATAAAGAGCGAGAGAAGAAAGCGTCACAGAGGGAGAAAAGGTAAAAATACGGAAATTTTCTTTAGGAACAATATCCTAGCAACGAAATGCCAAACTTTCGGCGGGAAGCTGACCATGGCAGAAACGAAGGGCCTGATAACGTAGGAACAGCAGGGGGGCGGGCGATAGATTGACAAGCTATGTGAAAAAATACGCGGGAAATTTGGGCCGGAAGCACGTAAATAGTAAAAAAAGTCGCTTCCAGAATCTCTGCTAGCCAGCCTAGTTCCTAAAAGCTCTCTACTAGTCTAAAAGAATTCCCAAATGATAGCTGCTAGCATGCCCTCCTTCCTGAATGATCTCTGCTAGTATGCCCCTCATTCCTCAATGAGCTCTGCTCACCTACCCTCCCCTCGTAACCTAATAACCATTCCAACGAGCTCCTCAAGCCGCCGCATCATCCCTTTACAAAAAAAGCTACTCAAGATCATTGCCGATAGCCGCAAGCAGGGCGGTCTTTTCAAATAGAGCATATGAAGATCCGGGGGTAGGGCCCCCATTCTGTCGCCGAGGCCCATAAATTCAGGAAAAACATGCGCGGCCGTCGATCCCTGTCTTTCCAATCAAATGACAGGCCGCCCCGCGCGCACCTCATTGACCTTCGGATGAGCTCCTCTCGGCATCACCAAAAAAACTCGAACAACAGCGGTGCCCGGCGGAAGACCGGACCCCGTCGGGACGCGTTTCAAATTGGGGGAATGTGGACATGGATGGCGGTGTAGTAGGAGCATTTGGGAAGTAAGAATCTGCTTGACATCCTGAGAACGTCCTAAGAAGGGCAGGCTAGCATAGAGCATTTGGGTATTTCAGGACCCGCTCCGCAATCGGTTTTGGACTGTTAGCGGGGGGAATCACTTTCTGTTCTTTCACCTGTCGACGATATATAAATGCATTTTTACCGTGTGATTAGTAGTTTTTGATGGTTAGAGAAAGTAGAAAGTTATCAAAAGATCTTTAAAAAATTTCAAAATTGGAAAATTTTGACCTGTGTTGGTCATTTTTCTTACATTTTTGACCAAAACGACAAAACTCTTCGAAAGCCTTTATTATTTTTTTAATATTGTTTTTGTATCTAAAAACTATATAAAATCTGACAGCAGGATAGAGAACAAGATAGAGAAGAGTGAGAGCGAGAGAGAGAGAGAGAGAGAGGAGGGAGAGAATGAGAAATAGAGCGAGAAAGACGGCCAAAGACAGAGAAATCGGCTGGACGATGGAAACGAGATCAGCCGAACAGATAGCCACATTAGGGCCGCTCGGTCCGCCTCAAGGATGACGGCTCATTTGAAAATTTGGGGTAACCTGTGGAAAAACCTGAACGGTTGGTCGTCCGGAGATGCCGATAACCCAAAAAATAAGCAAGGGACCGCTAGTTACAACCTGTTTGAGCCCAGGCAGTGTCTAAGCCCCAGCCTTAGCCTAACCCTAAGCCTAAGCCCAAGCCTCAGATGGCTCTAAAAATAGACAAACATGTTTTTGTTTACCAAATAACGTCTGCAGCCCTCTACTACCGTACACGATACAGACAACGAACGCCCGACTTTTTCCACCCCCAAAAACCCATTCCAAGTTGATCGGCGCTCCGCCAACACGCAGACGGCCATCGTCGTCGCCTCGCCGTCGTCAACGTGAATGATGTGCAAACAGGGTGTTCCCTCCTATCCATTCTTTAGCTTGGCTGCTCCCATTCGGACTGTGTGGACGTCGTGGTGATGCGCCTTCATTGCACATCCCATCCTTCCATCAGCCCCCACGCGAACGGCCCTCAATTTGCATGCGCCGCGCGGGGTCAGACGAGGATCGGAGAGGAAGAATTCGAGGGTACGGTGCTAAAAGGGGCACTCGGGAATAGGATAAGCATAAGCCTCAGCCAAGCCCAAGCCAAGCGCAAGCCAAGACTAAGCTCACCTAAGCGTACATTCAAGCAGAAGCCTACGCCAGGCGATAGCGACAGCAAGAGCGAGAAAGCCATAGAGAGCAAGAAGAGATAGTAAGAGAGGGGGAGCGAGCGAAAGAGAGAGAGAGAGAGAGAGAGAGAGAGAGAGAAAGAGAGAGAGCGAGCGAGCGAAAGAAAGAGCGATAGAGCTATAGAGAGAGGCTCGCCGAAAGTAACATACGATAATTGATACTTGCGATATGCAAAGGCACACCCGGATAGGCTACCCCATCTCATTTGCCCGGTTTACGGGCTTCCAAGGTCCAAAGATAGCTCCGGGTCCAATCCACAAAACAAGTGCTCCGGGCGGGGGTCGAACACGATGCGGGGCTTCATGCTAACATCGCTTATCCCCTCCTTTGTGGCGTCTCCGCTGCATTTTCCGAGTCGTGGTAATTTCCAAATTACGGCTTTGGTTTATTTGGGTTGCGGTAGCTTCAAATCCCGTTTTTTGATGATTTACCTTAGAAATCTAGCAAAATCCCGAATTTCCGCAAAAAATGGGTATTTTCGGCATTTTTCCGGCTAACCGTAGCTTCCTAATTACGGCGTTTTGGGTCATTCTAGCTTCGCAGGCCCAATTCTGGTTGGAATCCTTAAAAAACGCTTCTCCATTCGCGAATACCCGTTTTTACAATATAACTTTTTACAACTCAAATATTCCAAAAGTAGTCCACTTTAAGACATAAAAATCAATAATTTAGCAAATTCTGAACACCTGAAACTCTTCCCGGTATCGGATACTATCGGGTAACGCTTTTAGTTTATTTCAATAGCTTCTCATCGACCAGAGAAACATCCCTCAAAACAGTCTACACAACCACCCGATTACGCAATTATTCCAACATTGCCCCTAGATTTAACCCCTAAAACATCGTTTTCACACAAATTCAACAAGTTCACCCTGTCCATCATCATTCAAACTACTGCTCCACGTTACTTTTTGTCTATATCCTATTTTAATTGAAATAAATTAAGGTTAGGATGTTTTTACTTTTCATATAAACATTTGTTATTTATTAGCAAAATTTAGGGTTCATATATTATACTTTGCCTCCATCTCTTCCCACCCCCCGCCAGGGGAAATGTCACACCACTTTGTTTATTCTCTGCAATTTTTTTGTTGAAATATAAGGTATTCTACCTTCAAGAACAAAGCGAACATCCTCTATACATCACGGCTCTGTAGCAAAAAGGGGAGCCAAAGTACAAAAGTTGGCATAGTTCAACGCGTTTCAACGTCAGTTATTTCAAAATCTTCTAAAAATTTGGAGTTTCGACTGAGACTGAGAATCGCTACGCTGTATTGAATCCGATCCCTTTGGTTTTGCTATTCTTTATTGATACGCTATTCCGCTTTATTTTACAAAAAAAAATCCGGAGCGGAGGAATTTGACTTGGACTCGATTTTTAGCAATACTGGCGCGGGCTTCTGCAGCACAGCGCCACAAAGCCAAAAGTCGGGCATCGTCCCGTCAACGGGCAGATCACGGGGTTGAGCACGCCGTACTTGGTCTGTCAAAAGGAATTTTTGTGGCTTCGGCAACTGCATACTTACCGTTACCTCCTTGATGAGGCCTTCAGCCTCGTCCTTGGACGAGACGAGGGGTCCGATAATTCGGAACCCCGGTCCTAAATTCAGAATATCTGACGTCAGAATACCTAAATCCGAAGAATTTAAAGTCATAATACATCTACATGTCATCCCAAAGTATAAGTGTGTACAGGGTGTTCCATAAAAAAAGCACTCCCGCCTAACGGTGGTCCGGAGAAAGCTGGGATCCGGATTATTCCTACACCAGTCGAAAGCCCTCCAAAAGTTGAGAAACCAAACGGATTTCGTTTTCTTAACTTATTTTGCATTTTTTTAGTATTCAACGTTTTGCATAAAAACGCGTGTTTTTCTTTTCCCCTATTGCAATTAAGGTAAGACTCCAGATAAACCCCCCCTCAGCCAGCTCGGGCCCCTTATGTCCTATTACTGCGCCGAGTATCTCAAAATCTTCGCCGTGGTCTAAAACCTAATGGAAAGTTGTTTGGTTCCCTCAAAAATCGCTAGAAATTTTTTTATAAGAATTACCAGCGCCCAAAACCCGCTTCGCGGGCCTTGGGCGCTGGAATTGGGCCTTTGCATGAAAAATTTGACTTTTCGATAGCTCGGGTCCTTCGGACCCCTTCGCCCCACCGACCGCACACTCGCGGGCAAATTGCACGAATGAGGAAATTTGTATTTTTCATATTATGCAAATTACCTCCAAAAATGAATAAAACCGGCTTTAACTTTGTAAACCTGTATTTTATCGAAATTCTGAAGACACCATCGGAAAGAGGAGGGTCGATTCCCCCAAGTGACAAAAAATCAGCGCATTTTATCCAAGGGAAGGCCCTTAAATCGGGCCTCGAAAGTGACATCCACACACACACACAGAGATACACCCCAAAATTATATAAGGTAGGATAAGAATTATAAGTCTGGGTCGCCTGTGTTAATTTTCCCTGACCCAAAGTCGAAATTGGTATCTCGGCTCTAGGTTGTCATACACGGCTGGCAAAGGTACCAAAATGTAGCTCTTGACCTGGAGAATGCGAAAACATGTGATTTGGGTCGAAAAAATTACGAAAAATGACGAAAATCGAGGTCGAAAATTTTAAGCTTGGGCTTGTATAAAGTTTGGCGAAATTTTCTAGCGATTTTCGGCGGAACCAAACAACTTTCCGTTAGGTTTTAAACCACGGCGAATATTTTGAAATACTCCGCGCATTAATAGGACATATGGGGCCCGAGCTGGCTGGGGGGGGGGGGTTATCTGGAGTTTAGCCGCAATTAAAATGCCGATCTCGCATAAAGCAGCCCTTTGCACAGTTTTTAGGGTACACACCAGGGATTCCCTATCATTATCTCGAAAATCAACATTATTATTATCTTTCTACTCGAATTCGCGATAATTAGCTTTCGAGACAATGAACTTTCGAGATGTTGATTTTCGATATGTTGATTTTCGAGATAATGATCTATCCCCCAGACCAGGGTTGAAAAGACGCGAAGCGGCCTGGCCCGTATAAGCCCATGAAATTCTACCCTTTGCATAATTCGCCCGAATTTGTCATGAGAAATAATGAAAAACGCTCCCTCTCTTCTCTTATATAGGCTACCGCAACTTCCGGTGCATGCTAATTTTTTCCTAACAAAGAGGGCGCCTGTTTTTTAAACAAAAAACCAATTTTAATGTTGAAAATAAGATAATTTGCAAAATATTTTATGTGTGCAGTCATCTCGGAAGCATTACGCACCTAATGACGTATCAAACTTATCTTAAAAACTTGCCCCTTTCGAGATACTACTGGAACACCCAGATGGAAGTTACATGCAACTGCACATACACACAGACACTATTTAGGATATTTTAGGATATTACCAGGGTTGAAAAGCCGCTTGGCGACTTTTCAACCCTGGCCCCGTTTTGGACCGCATGCTGTTCTACGCTTTGCATAATTGCGCTGAGTTCAGATGACCAAAAAAATGAAAATGATTAGCTTGTGACCTTTTATATAGGCGACTTCCTACTTCAGGTCAATGCTAATTTTTCCTAGCGAAGAGGGTTTTAGAAAAAACTTAAATTTAATATCGAAAATGGCTGATTTTTATAAATCTGATATGTGGGCAGTCATCCCTAGACCATTACGCACATAATGACATATCATACCCACCCCTAACTTCTTCCCCTATAGAGATACGACTGGAACAACGATACGGAAGTGGATGCAAAGTGGCACACACACACAGACACTATTTTTTTATATATAGTAGGATAGTAGGATATAGTAGGATAGGATAACGGGGGGGCACTCAAACTTTTTGTATGATAAAAGTATTTTTAAATATGCTTTTTTCGGGCTGTAAAAAAGCTCTTAGTATATTTTTAGGTCCTTTATCGAATGGCATTTTCAAAATATCGAAAATATTCAATACGCCAAAAATTGGTCCCCCCCCCGCGTTATCCTATGTGCTGCCCAAAGATTTTCCTCAATTTTTGTTTATTCAATAAAAAATTTCCATTACATTATTTTGGGCTCAAATTAATTCTCTTAGTATATTTTTTGACGCTCTATCGAATGGCACTCGCAAAGCCCTCAGTAATTGCAAGTTTCATAATAATGAGTGCCCCCCGTTATTTTATTCCCCCCCCCCCGATAATGCGAAAGAACCGTAAAATGCATGAATTGACCCACCGAGCAGGCCACATCCCCATAGTGGTCCTCCGCCACACCAACTGTTGCTTTGAAATATGCAATCCTAAAGTGTGTATTTCTGGGCGAGGTCTAACCTTACCTCAAAAATCGCTGCAGTCCCTCCAAACAGGGTGAAAAGCCCGACGAAGACGAAGGTGATGTTCATCTATTGAGGTGTATCTTAGTCGTTGGAGTCTACCCTTATACAGGGTGTAAGGTGTAAGGTGAAAGGCGAGTAAACAAGGAGGGTTCATTTTCTTTATTCTGGATTTTTAATCGCTAATTTTAGGTCCAAATTTTGGACTTTTTGAACCTTATGAATTTTGGAATTTTGGACTCCAAAAATCATGAAAACTGCTGATTTATGCAGGATCTGCATGCTAATTGCCAAATTCCTGTTGAAAAATTTCCGGTTTTTTAGAAAAACCTTCATATCAATGGAACAAGATTTAATCTTAGAAAACGAAACCCGCTTGTTTTCTCGCCTTTTCGAGAGCTTTCGATAGGTAGCTAAATCATAAAAATCGGAATCGACTGCGGACCACTAGGTAGGGGGGTTTTTTGGGACACCCTTTATATGTGAGATGCTTCGTCAATCCTGGATTTTCACCGGAAGTACGAGAATTTGCTTGGGTTCAACCACTTAAACCAAGAATTTCGGGGTCGGCACCGAGTCCCCACCCAAAGGACAAAGAGGGTAGAAGAAGTGGGGCCGTGATCTCCACAAGCCGGAGAATTTTCATGTTTTAGTTTGACTTGCCATGGTTGAGAAGCTTTATATACTGTCCTGAGTTTCGGAGCATGCTAATCCTACTATCCTACTATCCTACTATATATAAAAAAAAATAGTTTGTGTGTGGGCGTGCATTTGCATGCAACTTCCGTCAGGGTTTCCGGAGGATATCTCCAGGGGGAAAGGGTATTAGGCTACGTATGATACGTCATTGGGTGCGTAATGAAGCCGAGATGACTGCACGCATATCAGATTTTGCAAATTATGCTATTTTCGACATTAAAAATCAATTTTTGTTTAAAAATCGGGCAGCCTCTTTGTTAGGAATTAATTAGCATAAGCCGGAAGTGGCGGCAGTCTATATAACGGCGGAGAGGGTGGTTTTGTCGTTATTTCTCATCGAAATTCGGCCGAATTATGCAATGTGCAGGATATCATGGGCTCAGACAGGGCCAGGGTTGAAAAGTCGCGAAGCGGCCTTGCAACCCTGGTATATAAAAAAAATAGTGTCTGTGTGTGCGCCAATTTGCATCCACTTCCGTATCGTTGTTCCAGCCCTATCTCAATAAGGATAGAAATTTAAGGGACGTATGACACGTCATTAGGTGCGTGATGGTCTTGAGATGACTGCACACGTCGCCTATCTTTTAAAAAAGCCATTTTCGATATTAAATTTAGGTTTTTGTGAAACCTTCTTTGAAATAATTAGCATCGACCGGTAGTAGTGAGTCGGCTATATAGGGGGCAGAAGATATGCAAAGTGAACAAAAACGCCAGGACCAGACGGGGCCAGGGTTGAAACGTCGCGAAGCGGTTTTTCAATCCTGGTTGTCTACTATATATAAATTTCTAATGTCCGTCCGTCCGTGCGATCGGGAATTCAGCCAAATTTTGCCTTCAAATTCGAAATTCAAATTGCGGGGGACGGGAGGGCCAGCGCTGGTTCCTAATAAAGAAGATGACCAAAATTATCAAAAAAAAAACCTAATTGTGAAAATGGAGGGTGAAGCGAATTGTGTTGATCCATCGGTTCTTTTATAGTCACCGGAGGCAGCAAAAACGAGCTGCAAGAAGAGCGGCCGCCCAGGCATTCCGCAACAGTTGGGGCGCGGCTGTTGCCCGGCATCGGCGTCGTGGCGAGGACGTTCAGCCAGGCGAGGCGAACGGCTGTCCCTCGGCTGACCAGGGAATGGTTTCCGGCGAACATCGGACCTAGATATGTGAGTATGTGCATCTTGTAGACCTCTACGAGGCGAATCGATTGATGTGACTTTTAGCTGCCAACGCCTTTAAAAAAAGTTACAACGATTTACGTTTGCTGGCATGCCTTAAAAGCCTTCCCCGTGCCCCCACCAGCGTAAAATTTCAGAAGGCGGGACCCTTATGATTTTTATTTTCTCAAAAATTTTGCTGCCTGCGGCGCTATTTTTTCACGTTTTTACTGCTATTTGTAGAGCCGTGTAGCCTTTTTTCCAAAATGTTTCGTCTGCGGCGCTGTTTTTTCGTTCATTTTTTTGAGTTATTCGGAAAAAATTTTTCGGGCCCCCCCCCCGAAATTTTTTTCTGGCTACGCCCCTGCATAGGTTGTTCATAGGTCCAACGTTAAGTTCGGAAATTTTTTTTCTATTTCTTTTCATTTTCGGAATTTTTCCTATTTTATTAATTTTCGGAAATTCCAGGCTCTCACAAGGAGTCGCTTTTAGGTGCTTTTGGAGTTTCGGGACGGGATCAAACTAGTTCCATAGAGAAAAAAATTCTGAGCAACATCCCGTTTTCAAAAAGTGCTGATCGATAAAGCTGTTTTAGAAAATTTAATTTAAAGTTCGCGCTTTTTTCTATTTTTGGGGTCCATTTCCTCGGTTCACGACGTTCTCGGGGCTGGGCAGGGCGCCATTCGTAACCCTCCGCCAATGCCTCCATCACAGGTCGCATTGGCGTATTGGTAGCGCGCTTGCCTACCAACTTTTTAACATTTTTTGCCTCGGGTTCGAATCTTCGCGCTGGATAACCTTTTGCTTTTTGGTTCTTGAACCCGTTATCGGTGCATAAAAAGTTAATTAGCAAAAAGCAAAGAGTTAACGGTAAATAAGAATCAAACTTGTGGCAAAAGGTCAAAAAAAACTTCGTAGGCCATCGCACTAGCCACTTGGCCATGCCTAGGACGAGATCCAAGGGGCGTGAAGTCCTCATGTGGCGGGGGCGATCGGCCGCCGCAAATCACCTCAAATCACCACAAGGGTCCGGATACCGGGAACATTTTTAATTAAATTAAATTTTCTAAAACAGCTTTATAGATCAGCACTTTTTGAAAACGGGATATTGCTCAGAATTTTTTTTCTCTATCGAACTAGCTAGGTCCCGTCCCGAAACTCCAAAAGCACCTAAAAACGACTCCTTGTCAGAATGCCAATGGAAGCATTTGTGCCAAAAAGCAAAAAATAAAATCGTGAGAGGGTTCGAACCTTCGATAGATTCCCCATACGCCGCCGACTACACCATTAGACCACCACACCACAGGAGTCGGGAAAGAGGGAGGGCTTATGAAGGTAGGGGGTAACGGGGGAAGAGGGAGGGCTTACCTCTAGCCTACTTTTTGAAATAATTAGACTGGACAACAGCAGAAGATGATGACGTTGGTGCGGAATTGACTATCGAGCGCGGAAGGACCGACTACAAATGACGTACGACTCCTGGAGAGGTTTTCCATCGCTCGGTAAAAATGGTGTTTTCTTTTGAGGACCGAAATGTATGGCGGGCTTTTGTCCGTTCGGGCATTTGTCCATTCGGGCTTTTGACCGTACGGGCTTTTGATCTTTCGGGCTTTTGCCTTCCGGCATCTGCCTTCGGGCAATTGCCTGCGGGCATTTGGTACTATCGGGCTTCTGCCGGCGGGCTTCTGGCACCCACCCCTTTTCTAGCCCTTATTTACTATGGCATGACCCTAGTGGAGCCCTGCGGATCTAAAAAATAAGGATCTGGGTCATGGACCACAGGGTTAGTCGTCGGGATTGACGGTTAAATAGGGGCTGCAAGGTCGAGAGAGAGCGAGAAAGAGCGTGAGAGAGAGAGAGAAAGAGAGAGAGAGAGAGAGAGAGAGAGAGAGAGAGAGAGGAGAGGGAGAGCCCTAATTGCCGTAAGCAAAGGTCGTCGTGACCCAGCTCTGATAGGCTGGCTACCTTCATTTGCTCCACAAGATGCACAAATTCGTGCTATTGCTGCTTTTTGTGTCTTTGGGTGCTTCTTCCTGTTCTAGCTTCATCGCATACATGGATTCGTCAATGTGCGTAAACCTACAATGCGAATGGCGTGGCGCAGGAAAGAACTGCAAATCTGTGATAAGCGTTTATGATGCCTACAGCCGCCAAGCACTCCAAAAGAACGTAAAATTTGATTTTGCCACAATACAACCCTCTGTTAGAACAGCTGTCCAACGGCTTGGGAATTTCTTAACAAGGATGAGACGGATGCCGACCTGCTCTTACGTTTACAGGTTAGCTGAAAGGCGGGATGCTGCTAGAAACTTTTTGTTGTTCCCACATTTTCTGGCATTTTTCAGGGTTCGAAAGGAATTTAGCACTTTTTGTTGCCACGAGAATTTATCTTTTTTGCTCCAAACGCTCTTTTTTAAAAACTTTTTTTAGCCTTAGAGTACTTTCTGCCCTCTCAATACACGTTAATACGCTGGAAGGGAGGCGACCCCATAGAAATAAAAGAACGGCTTTGCTTTTTTTCGTCCGAAGATTTTACGTGCCATGTTTATACATAGCACGTAGAAGGCAGCGGGGGCAGGCCCCCCCTCCCCCGAAATTCGGCAGGCCTAAAAAAAACATAAGGGTTTTTTTCCCCCTCCCCCTTATGATTTTTTCAACTTGAAAATTTTTTGCCTGCGGCGCTGCTATTTTTGCAAAGTTTTTCGCCTGCCGCGCTCAATTTCGCAAAATTTTTCTTGTTACCACCTCCAAAATGTCGCTCCCCCCCCCCCCCCCCCAAAAAAAAAACTTGGGGTCAGCTACGCCCCTGATAGCATCGCACTTTCAAGTCTTCCGGAAGACAGTCAAAAGAGACAGACAAAAGAGACAATTTCAGCGCCGGTATCCTGTGAATACGTTCACGGTCGTGAAAGATCTGACACTAGAGGATGGATGTCAGGAGAAGCGGCTGTGCTGCAACGCCGATCGGATGTATGCGAACGCAGACCATGACGAGTGGCGCGGCCGTCTTCTTAATCCGATCTCTAGAAGGAGGCCGAGGACCCGATGCTAAATACCAGTAGCTTGCAAAAAGTTTGTAAACCAAGAGCTAACCATCTTGTACCCGAATTTTTTGGTGCATAAAGCTTTCCAGTAATTCATTCATCCCAGTTGACCCAGTTAACAAAAAGACACGTTACAAAGACACAGGCAAGTTTTAGTGAAAGACGGATATGAGAACAAGTGAATGAGGGGCTACTCGATACGGCAACACAACCAAAAATTCGAAAGGGATATACACAGAAAACAATTAGATTTCTTCAAGTGTGGACAACGGGTTGCTCAGATCGAGGTCGGCGACGACTTTGCGCACCTCTAGCTCCACCGAATCGAGGTCCCCGTCGGCGTTGATCGGCTGAAAAGAGACTCACTCGAGCCTCCGCATATCAAAACTACCTTCCAAAAATCCCGCTTCAACGTCCCCATGGCCACTCGAACTTTCCGTTGCAGCTCATCAGTTTCCAGACGTTCCGCGCCGAATCCACCGCGCTGCTGCGCGACTTCCGGTGATACCTGAATTGATAAAATTGAATAGAATAAAATGTTTAACCTCAAAGAACAGAACCACATCTGGTTTTGGTAGCCCAATGTCACCGGAACGAATCCATGTTCCGTTGAGCCCTGAAAACAAAGAGTTTCTTATCACGAAAGGCTTTTCCGTCGGATTAGCTTATCACGACATCGTCCCCCGCCTTATCAAAAATATACCTTTGGCAAGCGAATAAGCGACTCCCGAGTAGGCGTATCGGTCACAGACGACGTCGACACCGGCAGCGATGGATTCTTGGATGAGATCAACCTGCAGAAATGGCAGTTATTGAATGAATCAGATGCCAACCCGCTCTCTGCGATTCGCGCAAAACAATAGATGAAGCGCCTCCTCGTTCAGATCAACTTCGCTCCTCAGGTACCCGTCTATCAATTTTCCGATGGCTGTGCTTCTATCTAATCGTACCTCAGTTTTCGATTTATGCACCTTGCCTGGGAATGGGATGAATTGCACTTTCCGGCCTTCATTCGTTAGATGATCTACCAGCCGCTTTGCTTGCGTCGACTTTCCAGAACGATCGAGCCCTTCGAAAATAATTAGCGCACCGCGTTGAGGCATCTGGCGAATTGTAAAAATTTTCAGGAGTAGACGGAAATGAAGCGACGAGATCGAAAGCCTCTGACGAATCTAGTTGCCAGCCAACGGCCAGCATACGTGGAACTCGATAACATCGCGGTCGGCGAGAAACCAAAATCCCGCGCAGACAAAAGTCGCTCCCCCGCACGGTGTGTTAGTTATTGGAAGGCCAGGGCAAAGGTGTGTTCAAAAATGTCTTAATACAAAAACTATTTATTTCTGACACAGGAAATTGCTCGCTTCATTACGTTACAAAGACCGGATAAAAGAACAATAATGCCTAATCTGGAAAAATAATCTAACACGTAACGGGCAGACGGATCGGTTGTTATTGGTTATCCACTTGAAACGAGCATCATCGCGATCACGGCACCTTCTACCAGTGGTAGTAGGTCTTCTGGAAGTCGAGGTAACGGTGGGACTTGACCAGCCAGTTCAAGAAGGAGTAGGCGAAGATGAAGCGGAAGATAGTTTTAACCTAAACGGGGGTTTGATGTAGGGAAAGCCGTTATACCGCGCTGCCGTAGACTGGTCCCGAGTAGTAAAGGTTGTGTACACGGTAGATGTTGCGCACGAACTCGTTGTAGACGGCGCCGGGCGTCTTCTGGCGACGGCCCAACCAGGCGGGCAGATCAGCTAGCTTCACGTCGAAGAGCTTGGTGTCGGCTGAAAAAGGATATAATAACTAGCCATTCAAAAGCACAAAATCTCCATAACAATATATAGTTCCCGAGTTCACGGCGCTTTATAAAGATAAAACGTACGCTTTCCATAATATCGCCAGTGGCAGTAGGGGCCATGGACCTTCGGGTTCCAGCGCTTGTCGAAGAGACCGATCTCGGTCTTGTTCAGGACCCTGCAAGCACAATGTTGAAAAATTGAGAGCCGCAAACTAACCGATTGTAGAAATAGACACCCAATCTCTCGAACGCCCTAGAAATGGGAACGAAGATGGCATCGGGAACCCATGGTGTGAGGTGAGTGCCAGGCGGCGGCGGACGGAACCAGGCCATTCCCCTGAAAGATGTCTGTTGTAATGAACACGAAAACAAATGTTGAAACAGGACAACGAGAGGGAAACGATAGGAAAAACGTTCGAAGGCGCAAATCTTTCCGGGATTCAAATTAGCAAGAAACCAGGGGAAGGGGCCTCGTGGAAAGCTCGAAAACTGTCTACAACAATTTCGCTATATTTTAATCATTTTGGTAGTAATTTTCTAAACAAAATATAAAAGTTTAGCAATGGAAACTGTTCAACAAAGCTAAAATCGCCAGTGGCTGAAACGCGCCGCCCGTCCGAACAGGGGGCGCCGTAGCGCGCTATAGCAAACAACCCAGGCAGCGAGAAGGAGCGGTTTTGGGCAAAACCCCTCGAGCTTCAAAGTTTGCTGGAAAGGGTAAGTTTTATCTGATTCAAGGACAACTAAAACCGAAAAATAACACAAGGAAGGAAACAACAACAACATTTTCACAGAAAATCACAACAATTATCACAATCATGCTCCAAACGGGCAAAATAAAATACATAAACTGAGGTGGTTCACAAACAATCACCGATAAATATGTTAAAATTGATAAATCAAGCTAAAGGGGGAAAATCTAGTTTCGTGCAGCGCTTCCGACTTGAGGTTCCATTGAAAGGAACAGATCTTCGCCGGAAGAGACGCTAATCATGGGGAAAGTAGGAGTAGGCTCTGGTGGCTCGTTGGCACCACAGGCGCCGGTGTCATCGGTAGCCGATCCTTCTTCTTGATGTGTACGTTGAGAAGCCGACGGCGAAACGTGCACTTGCGGGGCCTCTTCTACTTCCTCGGCGAGCAGGGCGTACTCGAATGCGCGCAGCAGCGTCTCCACCTCGTCCGCGCCAAGCTCCTAGGGCAGAATTATTCATTACGAACTTTGAAACCAACTGTATCTTGTTCATTTGCAAACTCGAGCGCTTGCTGTATTTCCACATCATCCTGCGCGCCTGCCGCATTCGTTTCTTCAAGGTCATCCTGAAATTAAAGCATCTTTTAGCAAAAAAACCGTGAAAATTTACCCGTAACGTGCCGCTGAGAGCCGTCAAATATTCTAGCTGCGCGCTGAGTGGGTGGCCTCGGAGGAGCGAGATCGCAACTTTGAGTCGGTGCCCGATTCTCGTAAGCGCACGCCTAAAACAATCCTTTTAAAAAAACAAATCCGGCGCACCATTTCAAGGTCTGCTGATCCAGGACCCTGCGCTGTTCCGTTTCCGCTCGTAAGCGATAGGCCAAGTCTTCAGCTTCGTCGACAAGATCCGGAGGGAAGTTGGCCAGCTGGATCACGTCAAAACCTGCAGACAACGATAACAGGTATCCAGGAACGCTACCGTATAGCGGGCCCTTGTAAGGTCCCTTGAATAGGCGGTGGCGCACCTCTTCCCCGCCATATTTCTCGTCTTCCGTTGATTTGAAGTGCATGCTAAAAGTACATCTATAAATCCTAAACTAGCGATTAATACTTGATAACCGCTGATGAAGCGACGTCAAGCGCAGCGAGGTCAAGGTAATGCGTGGCCAGCATCACGTAGGACTATAAAATGATTTTAAAAAACTAGAATTAAGCATACCTTTTTCTTGATCAATTCTTCCGAAATCGCATACGAAATAGCGACGCCTTCCTCGGTGGCCGTTGCTAAAAATTGAGATCCACACCAAAATCAGCAAAAAAAATGAACGTACATCTTGCCAACTCGTCCATCACAATCAAACAGTCCTTGTCGGTAAACTCGAGAATCGTCGCCACGTCGCGCATCTCCAGGCCGAACGACGACAGATTTTGCATCAGGCTGTCGTTGTGGTCCATGCGGGTGAAAATCCTACAAAAGAATAAATTGTATTTTACCATTCCCAACGCGAACCTTTTGAAAACGGGCAGCTTGCACATCGTGGCCGGGACATAGGAGCCGAGCTGGGCGAGGAGAGAGAATTGGCAGAGCATCTTCAGCAGGGTCGACTTACCAGCCTAAAAATTCAACGCGTCTAAAGAAGAAGCCCGGCGCACACCTTTTCGAAAATGCCGATTTCGACGTCATTTTTTAGAATTTATTTTCCGAGAGTCAGAATCTGCGCTGTTTTAAAAACGTTAGCACTTTTCTATTGGTAAGCCTAAAACAAGTTTTCAGAAATTTTAATGTTCAAAAACTGATTTTCGAAAATGTATCAAGCGAATTACCATATTCGGGCCCGTGATGACGGCGAAGCGATTGTCCGGTGTCATATACTAAAGAAAACGTAGGAAAAAAGCTGGAACGCCCTACCATATCGTTGGGGATGACGGTGTCGCTGTAGTGCAGGTCCAGAATTGGGTGGCGGCCTTTCAGAATGACCACATCTTGGCCGAATTCGGGTCTACCTGTAAAGAACGTCCGGAAAAAGGCCTGAACCTTACAAGCGTGCGTTTGCGTCGCGTAGACGGCCATCGACTGCAGCATGTCCAAGAGGCACACGTCGTCGATGAGCGAATAGAGCGCCCCGACGAGCGGTCGTAGGTAGGCTATCAATTCTCGGACCCTCAGCCCGGTGGTGGACAGCAGTTCGTCCTCCGTCACAGTCAAGCGATCTAGGCAGAAAAAAGGCCGATTTTTGAAAAATGTCGACATTTTTAAAAGCTTTTAGATAGTTTTTCTAGTTGAAATCAAATTATTTTAATCAAACCAATATTAAGACACCTACTATTCGGGTATTAGACATTTCTAAACTTAAACAAAAAAGTACGGTCCCCCGATAATGCAACAGAACCAAAAAATAAGTCCGCCCCCTCATTGCGAGAGCATGAAATGTTTTTTACCATTCAATCGTAACAACTTCACGCTGGTAAATGTGATGCAGGTCCGGTGCCGCGCTTCGTTGAGGAAGAACGTCGGAAGTCGAGTGCGGAGAGGATCGCAGGTCCAGCCAAAATTTAAGATGTTTCAGTAGAAAAAAATGGGCCTACACATAATGAAAGCCTCTAGATGCCGCGTACGCCAATCGGCAGTTCTGTCCGGGTAGATGTTGCTCCATCTCTTCATTGGCTAAAATTGGAAAAATCAGGGACGTGAATATTTTATTACATAATTCCTCAATTTGCGTCAATCGTTGCATATAAAGCTCTCGCGTAGCGTCGATTCGCGCTTGCACGCCGGTCTAAAACTTTTTAGCTATTTTCGTATTGATGATACAACCAAAAAATCGGCCCCTCTAGCGGGCCGCAGAAGCGTCCGATTTTGACGATCTGGTATCTATCGGAAACTAACTAAACCCGTGAAAACTGCATATTCTAGTAAAACAAAAGCGCTTGTTTTCTCGCCGTCTCAAGGGCCTTCGAATGGTGTACCAATTATCTCGATCCGAGCTTCCTCGGGACCGCTAGAAGTGGTCTATTTTTTATGGTATATCCTGTATACCTTAATCGCAAACAACTTCTGTTGAATTATGGATATCGAGGAGCGCTTGCAATCGAGGACCGCGGAATCGAGTGTCGTAGATAGTGCTCGTTCCATGGCCGTCAGGGACTCGCTGTCGAGATTCTAAAAAAATCGAAACAAAGAAGCTTATAGGCACCTTTAGACATTGTGAGAGCAGTGTAGATTTGCAGCGGGAAAGCACTGTACGCAGCGTGGGCAGAACCAAGAGCGTTTGGAACAGCCAAAGCACCTAGAACAAATTCGAAATAATGCTTCATGCGGCACCTGCAATATCTGATTTTCGTTTTGCTGTCGAGTCGGCTTCTGGGGCCCGTAATCCCGGCAGCAGACGTTGACAACACCTCCGAGCTCGCGGACACGATTCAGCAAGCCAATTAGTTGCTCGAGGAGCTGGAAGCAATCCAGAAATTCTCAAAAAAAATACCATTGGATTCTCGATAAGCTCCGAAATAGCATCTAGCCTCAGGTTGATGAATGCGACATCAGTAGATGGTTGTAGCAGGTTGGCGCGCAAGATCTAAATTCTACAATTTAACTCAAAAATGACACGGGGGACCGGGCTTTTTTTGTATGAGTCTAGAAATGCCTAGTAACCTAATACCTTTTACGAGTTTTGCGTAAAAACAACTCTATTTCAACTAGAAAAACTACCTAAAACGTTTTGAAAATCGTGAAATTTTGGTAAAAAATCCACATCTTTTAAATTTTGTGATAAAATTTTGGATAATTTTAGCGCTTAGGCATAGAAAAAAAATCATTTGGAAACAATTCCACTGACTATATTCAAAAAAATTCGCTTGAAGAGAAAGTTGAACCCCCCGATAATGCGAAATAACCAAACCCGAACCCGGTATCCGAGAGCCGTGATTGTGTTGTCAATCACTGCCAACAAGGTGCGCCTCTCCTTTCGCGGATAGTAATCGTTGATCACTTCCAGGTTTTTCCAGGAGGCATGATCTAAAGTTGATCAAGTGCAAGAATTAACGACAAAACAATTACCCATCAAGCACTGGCGCGTGACGTCAAAAAACTTGAAAGGGATCGTCTGGGCGGATAGGACAAATTCGTTGCGAAACTCGACAAATCTGATCAAGGCGCCCATTGCCGCGCAGGCAAATTGTCTGAGAAAGCTTTTTTAACCTAAAAAGAGTAACTTACTTGCCAACAACATCCTTGAGATTTTCAGCCTTGCTCGAAAGGAGCTTCATGATCGCCAGCCCACGCTCGGGGTTGAAGAATCTAAACAAAGCACACAAATACTAAATGAGGAATGTTTCCTACCTTCTTTGCACGGAAGTGATCTCGGCCGTGGGTGTTATACGCTTTATAACCTCCGAAAAGAGCAAATTGTTTGCCCTGTCGCCCTGCGTTTCAGCTATCACAATCTCTTCCGGTTCGCACAACTGCAGCATGGCGCTGAGAATGGCGTACGCGCCAGAGTCACGAAATTCTGAAACCAAACTATTTTTCTCGAGGTAACTGTTTACCTGTAAAAGTCCATTCAACGCCTTCTTCCTCGGCCCACGCCATGCCGACCAGGCCCTTGTCAGTGCCGCGCCCTTCCCAGACGGCTAAGAAAAAAAGAATTTACACAGCAGATTTCGAAAATAAACCTGCGACCACGTTCCGTTCGATGCTCTTGCTGTTCAGAAATTTGGACGAGCCGACGGGCGGCAATTTTCTAAAGCAAACTAGAAGATTTGAAAGGTTTCTTACCGAGTCTTCGGCGTCTTCCCCAGGAACTGCCTTGAAATGTCGTAACTGCTCGAACCACCGTCATATCCAGTTGTTGACAGCTGCGAAGACAGCATCTGAAAGATCGTATAAATTTAAAATCCAACGCTAATTTTAGGAAAAAGTGTATTTGTAAAAAAAAAGGGGAAAATTGGAAATAGCCACATCCGGTGCGGGGCGAAACTGCGTAAGAGTACTGCCTCGTAGTGGCTACGCTTTCCGCTCGATTGCCCTGGACAATCTAACTAACAGGTAAGCTAGCTTCCTATAAAAGCACCAGATGGTTACAGTCGCTTCGCGACTGCAACCATCTGGCCTTCGGGCTACCCTACATGTCCCACCCCACCACATCCTTTCCCACCTCCATCAATACCCCCGATAGCCGAAATCCCGTTCAAAAACTACCTAAATACCTTCCTGATGGCTGCAGATACCCCCCATGGCTGAAATCCCCTTCAAAAACTACCTAAATACCTTCCCGATGGCTTTAGATACCCCCCATGGCTGAAATCCCCTTCAAAAACTACCTAAATACCTTCCCGATGGCTTTAGATACCCCCCATGGCTGAAATCCCCTTCAAAAACTACCTAAATACCTTCCCGATGGCTTTAGATACCCCCCATGGCTGAAATCCCCTTCAAAAACAACCTAAATACCTTCCTGATGGCTTTAGATACCCCCCATGGCTGAAATCCCCTTCAAAAACTACCTAAATACCTTCCCGATGGCTTTAGATACCCCCCATGGCTGAAATCCCCTTCAAAAACTACCTAAATACCTTCCCGATGGCTTTAGATACCCCCCATGGCTGAAATCCCCTTCAAAAACAACCTAAATACCTTCCTGATGGCTTTAGATACCCCCCATGGCTGAAATCCCCTTCAAAAACTACCTAAATACCTTCCTGATGGCTTCAGATACCCCCCATGGCTGAAATCCCCTTCAAAAACTACCTAAATACCTTCCCGATGGCTGAAATCCCCTTCAAAAACAACCTAAATACCTTCCTGATGGCTTTAGATACCCCCCATGGCTGAAATCCCCTTCAAAAACTACCTAAATACCTTCCCGATGGCTTTAGATACCCCCCATGGCTGAAATCCCCTTCAAAAACTACCTAAATACCTTCCCGATGGCTTTAGATACCCCCCCATGGCTGAAATCCCTTCAAAAACAACCTAAATACCTTCCTGATGGCTTTAGATACCCCCCATGGCTGAAATCCCCTTCAAAAACTACCTAAATACCTTCCCGATGGCTTTAGATACCCCCATGGCTGAAATCCCCTTCAAAAAACAACCTAAATACCTTCCTGATGGCTTTAGATACCCCCCATGGCTGAAATCCCCTTCAAAAACTACCTAAATACCTTCCCGATGGCTTTAGATACCCCCATGGCTGAAATCCCCTTCAAAAACTACCTAAATACCTTCCCGATGGCTTTAGATACCCCCCATGGCTGAAATCCCCTTCAAAAACAACCTAAATACCTTCCTGATGGCTTTAGATACCCCCCATGGCTGAAATCCCCTTCAAAAACTACCTAAATACCTTCCCGATGGCTTTAGATACCCCCCATGGCTGAAATCCCCTTCAAAAACTACCTAAATACCTTCCCGATGGCTTTAGATACCCCCCATGGCTGAAATCCCCTTCAAAAACTACCTAAATACTTTCCTGATGGTTTAAGGTACCTCCCCTAGCCGAAATCCGCTTAAAAAACAAAAATAACGACCGACCGGATGGAATGAGAGAAAAAAGAAATGAAATCCCCCGTGAAAATTTTCATCCACGAAACGCGCGCGACCTGGCTCACTATGTCCAAAATCACCCCAACCTCCGTCGCCCACCCCTTTTACTAAGGGAAAAACTTTCAAAGTTAATTTTAATAATTTAAACAAAAAGTTTTTCATAATTTTTTAATCAGTTTGGGGGTTTCTGACCACGCTCTATCCGAATCCGAAGAGAGCTAAGCTCTAGCTCCTTTCCCCTTCGAGTTGAATTCGGCTTCAGACACACGGACGGACGGACGGACGGACGTCTCTACTTTTTTATTATAGTTGATGCCAAAGGGCATTTCGATGTACTTTCACGGAGATTTCGAAAATCATAGTGAGAATGACCCGCTCGCTTGATTTTCAAGGCAGTTTGTAAAGCTCGAGCCCAGGGAGCCGGGAGCCGAAAGAGCTCAGGGAGCTTCCGAAGGTATCTTAAAGCATCATTGGCATTAATTTTGGACTATTATACTAGTATTAGTGCATTACTACAAGATTTAATACGAATTACGACTTTTATAACCTTATACTGCAAAACCGTCTTGGGCTCCCTGGGCTCCCTGGGCTCGAGCTTTACTAAATGCCGATTTTCAGGGCAAAACCGCTCCGGAAAGCTGCACCTCGCGACGAGGGCAGCTTTCCGAAGCGCATCTTTCCGAAGCGCTGCCTCGCCTCCCGCTCGTTTTCTAAAAATATTTGAAAGCATATTCCGCTATAGTTTTGCAGGGATATTCCGAAACATTTTATTGAGAATGGCTTGCTCTAGCGGCTGAAGTAATTCTCTCCTGAATGCATTATGTGTTTTAATTCCTATACCCCTGAACGTGTAAATTCCAACTTTATACACTATAAAACTAAGCACGTCGACGAATTGCAATGATATGCGAATGTCAGTGAGATAGGTGACAGGGTTAAGGCACAAATTCTGTACAAAAATTGCTGGGTGAGGCATGCTGCCGTGTGAGCAGGCTGAAACGGGGAGAGCCAAAAATCCATGAGTTTTGCACGAAAAATACGGACACCAACACAAATACTGGCAAAGTTTTTTTGTATTCCGGAAGTGCGGTTCGAGATTCTCTATAGTTTGAACGGGTTTTAAAGAGGCTCCAGACGTGGAAAGCCTATGGGTTTTGCATCTGCCTTCTTTTTCTCTCTTCCTCCTCCTTCTCCTCGGCCTCCTCCTCGAGCTCCCGGCGCTGCGCTTCTCGCAACATTTGCAGCAACTCTTTTTGAGTTTTCGTGGCTTGCTCATCCTCTTCCTAAAAGTTTTCCGGTACGGTATCTGGGGCGCCGTTTACCGTGAGACTCTCGAGGCGCGTGTTGCTCTCCTCCATCGGCGGTTTCAGGCTGTTTTTTGGGGTATTGGGAGGGAACGTCTAAAAATTCATAGATTTCCGGTGCCAAAAAGGAGCTGCAACAAATTTTGATAAAAAAACGCGGCAAAAATTCGATACCTTTACTTAGAGAGTTTTTCGGGGCTTTAGGAACGTCTGAAAGTATGTACAGCTTTTAGTATGAATAATTTCAGAGCGGAGATTTCTTTCTTTTGCTTTAGTTAAATTTAAATACTACCTGTCCAAAATTGACATTTCCGGCTGAAGCGCGCAACCCTAGAGGTTGCCCGATCGTCATGTCGAGTTTTGGGTCGTGCGACATCCTCCGCAAATTCTTAAATTGCTCCATATTTTCCAGCTCCACCGCCTAAATAGGGAAAAAGCAAATCGGAGGTTAGTAAGCAAGAAAAATAGGGCAAAGAGTTAGTAAAATGACAACTTTCTCACCCCGCACACAGACTCTCTCTCTCCCTCCCTCTCTCTCTCACTCTCTCTCACTCTCTCTGTCGCTCGCGCTCTCTAGCTCTCTCCGCTTTTTCTTAAAAAAGCAATTGCCTAAACTTACATTTGCACTAACAACATTCCGATCCTCGGCCGGCCAAACTGGCGTCGGATGCGAAGTTTTCCTGAAAATTCCCATGTTTTGCAATCACAAATTGCATTAGTTCAGAAACTTCCCAAAGCTAGAGGTTTTAGCCCTTCTCAAAAATGAGCCCAACCCACCTCATCTTGCTGAAGAACGACTTGCGCTTCTCCAAGGGCGGCGAGTTGCCCAGGCTGAACTCGACGGCTAAACAACACCTTTGCACGTAAAAAAAAGATGTTTTTACGTTTAACGCTGAATTTACGCCTTCTGAAGCCGAGCTCGGGAGTGGAGACGACGCTCATCCGGTGGTCCACGAATACCGGCACCTCGTTCTTGTCGTCGAGCTCGATCTGCTCGCAGAAGTTGCGGGATTGGAACTGAAATCAGGCTTGTTGATCGTCGTAAGCCTAAGCCCAAGTCCAATCGAAGCCCAAGCCTAAGCCTAGGCCTAAGCCTAAGCCTAAGCTTAAGCCCAAGCCTAAGCCTAAGCCTAAGCTTAAGCCTGAGCTTAAGCCTAAGCCTAAGCCTAAGCCTAAGCCTAAGCCTAAGCCTAAGCCTAAGCCTAAGCTTAAGCCTAAGCCTAAGTCTAAGCCTAGGCCTAAGCCTAAGCCTAAGCCTAAGCCTAAGCTTTTAAGTTAATTTAAAAATCCTAAGCCTCAGCCTCATATACAAACCGCAAACTTACACTATCCGCAAAGGCATTCGAAAAGCGGCAACTGCTGATTTTTGGAGCCATGCATACCGGACTCGTCGGAGGCCTTAAATATGTTTAAAGAAAGCTTGAAGTCTTTTTTGTGATCTTATCTTAAGACTTTCACTTCCCAATCCCTTTAAAATTGGTTTCATTCGGGTGTTTGAGCCAAAACTTACGGCACATCCCACTGCGACGGGTGAACATCTCCATACGGCGAATCCAGGTCCACCGAAATGTTGTAGAGTGGATCGATTCGCTAAATTGTACTTTAAAGGGTCATTGAAGGCGGGCTCACGCTCTGTCCCCAGTGGATATCCTTGATGATCGGGGGCTCGTACAGATCACCGGAGACAATTTGGTAGGCCGTCTAAATTCACCAGGTTTCTAGCGAGAGAGATAGAGAGAGAGAGAGAGAGAGAGAGAGAGAGAGAGAGAGAGAGAGAGAGAGAGGGAGAGAGACAATCCTCACCTCCATATTCCTATCCAGCAGGTAGTTACTCTCAAAATCGTCGTCATCGCTTCCGAATGGATTTAGGAGCGCCTCGGCCACCTGAATTTTGTGCATTTTCCAGATCTTTACAGATTCAACTCACTTTCAACCATCCCATATAGAAGACAAAGGAGAAGATGGTGTGCACCGGGATTCCGATGTCAATCTGGAATAGTTTTGACCGGTAAAGGGATTGAAAATGGCGGAATCGACTCTTCAATTCACTAGTTCTCGACAGCTACACGAAAGGAACTCGTTTTCCTGTACTTGGAACAAAAATCCGACGATTAGTACATGTCATCTGACTTGCCAGCGAGAGAGAGAGAAAGAAAGAGAGAGAGAGAGAGAGAGAGAGAGAGAGAGAGAGAGGGGAGAGAGAGGGAGAGAGAGGTTGGACCTACATATTCGACAAAGTGCTGGTCGTCAATTTCATGAAGTAGGAACTGACTGGAGCAGAGGGCGAGCACAAAGTATAGCCTGAAATCGGCTGCACTAGGTAAAAAATTTCAGTTTGGCGTCCTGGCCCGGCTTTCCGCTCAACTTAACGACGGGACATCCTAAGACGCGCCCTACCTACCGTACAACGATACACACGACTTGGGTGTACAGCAGCGGAACGGGGGTAGAGTCGTGCATCAAGAGGGTTCCCAGGGATCGACGCCATTTCATGAATTCCTGAAAAATAAGGCCGCAGTTATAAGGTCCTAGAAAATTCTTTAGTAGACTAGAAAATTTTCTCCCTCTCTTTCTTTCTCTCTCTCTTCTCGCTCTCTCTCGCTTTAACCCACCTGATAAATCGAGTCCTGCGTAATGTCGGAGGCAATTCTGCCCTCGGCCCGGAGCCGAGCCACAATCGACATGGCCCAGTGAATCGGGACAAAATATTTCGAATGTTGGGTATCGATCTGGAAGTAGAAAAAATCTTCAGAATCATCATAGTCTATTCAAGGCTAGCCAAGATCCTGGCGGAACGATCAAAAATAGCATGGTTCCCAGTCCCTTTCACGCCAGGCCAGAGAAGTTAGGAATTGAAAAATTGCGTGTTTTTTTGGGTTGCTGGCTCCTTGAAAAGAAGATAAAGTCATGTCTAGGTAAGAAATGAAGGTTCCTTCGGGATTTTGGTCCCTTTAAAACGAACCGCTTCAAACCCGGCCAGCTCGTCGTTCGTAATGTACCCTGCGGCAACAAGTGTCCCCATCGTCGGGAATCGTTTACGCACCAGCACCGAAATGTCGCGGTAGATTATCACCTAAAAGTGGGCAGATAACCAGCGCGAGAGATAGAGAGAGCGGGAGAGAGAAGGAGAGCAGAGAGAGAGGGAGGGAGAAAGAGAGAGAGAGAGAGAGAGAGCGAGAGACAGACATATTCAAAAATTTCGGCTCCAACCTGGGCAAATAACAAATGTCTGACGATGTTCCGCCTCGCCATTATCGTCTCCTCGTCGTTTCCGGGGATGTAGTTTCTGATGTGGAGGGCTGCGCTAAAAACTTAGAGTTGCTGGCACATTCCCTTTAAAGAGGCCTGGACCTCAGGAATCGACCCCTAGGTAGACTAGGTCTAGCCAGCTACGCTTCACGATAAAACGAGTTTTAGCTGCGCCTGCTAGCCCTGAAAGGTGCTTCCTTTGAGCGGGCGCGCCTATTATATCCTCGCGTAGCTGCCGAGGCCTAGTTGGCCACAAGGGTCGATTCTTGCGGTTCTGGTCCCTTTAAAAAGATTTCTCACTAATCGATCCATCCGCTGTCGCAATACATGGCCCACCACCTAGCCACTACGATCGACACGTAGAAGCGGAGCATGAAAGTGAGAGGGAGGAAGTCTTTGTGCTCGCGAAAGAAGGCGACGACACGCTCGAACACACTGAAAATTATCTTCAACTCTCTATCTCTCTCTTTATCTTTCTCTCTCGCTCTCGCCGTCTCCTTCTCCTTCACTCTTCCTTAAATTCCGTTTATCGCACCTCTGCTGTTCTGGCGTAAATGCGAATCGATAGAGCAACGAAATAGAAATATATCCAACACACCACAGAATCAGCTCCATATAAACCGCCTAGAATATTTTTTAGCGTATTTCAGCTCAGACTACCTTCCAGATACTCCCGCGCCATCGAAAGATCAGCCTCGGAAAGATGCCAAACTTGGCTGAGGCCACGTCGGCCGCGTAGGCCACCGTCATTTGCTGGAATGTGGAATTTATGCAATTAAGAGAATAGGAATCGTTAAGATTTATAATCAAAGACCCTTTAAAAGAAGAGAAAAATGAATAGCAAGCGAAAGCTCGGGAGATAGAGAGGGAGCGAGATATGTGAAATCATTATATTCAGCATAATCCTGCGCCTAAGAATTTTCGAACTCCGAATCCTGCGCCAAAGCACTTGCAAGATCCGATTAAAAAAAATGGGTCAATCCAGGTGCTCTGATCTCCGTAATTTGGAGCTAAGCGGAACCGAAAAGGCAAAGCCCGGAAAATCAGAGAGACACTGATATCGAAATGACGTATCCCTTGGGGAGGATAGCCGACTAGACTGACCATCAATCGAGATGATTCGAAGAAATGAGAGAGAGAGAGAGAGAGAGAGAGAGAGAGAAAGTGGGAGAGAGGGAAAGAGATGGAGAGAGAAAGGGGGAGGGAGAGAGACGCAAATTAAGATTCAAAAGGACAAGGACACCCCCAAGTCGTGAGACCTGTTTATTATTGTCTTTTTGGAAAACAACGCCATTCCAAGGAATATGGTTTGGTTTGAACAACAAGCCCAACCAGGGCAAGCTAGCAACGATTCTTTGGGGAAATCGAGGACCGGCTACAGGGAACGTTTCACTGCCCGGGCAAGCTAGCAGAGACCCTTTAGGAATTGAATTGGAGCAGCAGGAAACATGCCAAGTCAAAGGCGAGAACAATTTTAAGCCCCGCGTCAATTGGCAAATAACGGAAAAAACGATGGGCCGGGGAAGACGGCCAGATTATGAGTGCCAAATAGGCAAAAGACATTTTTGTTTTTCGGGGTGGGACCTGTATTGGGGGTCAACAAATAGCACACACGAACGGGGCAAAACGCGAAGAAGACACGTATACCCAAAAATGACTAGCGGGCGAATTTGGTCCATTTCGGAAGGGAGGGGCCCCAGGGGAGGCTAGCAAACACCCTTTGTATTCAAGGGGAGAGACTGGTCAAAAAGGGCGTTTTGAGGTGTAAATGGAACGGTCGATTCGCTCTCCCAAACATCAGATCAGGGCAGCAAAATCAAGAATTGAGAGGCGAGAGAAAGGGCGAGAGCGAGAGACAGATAGAGAAAGAACCTCACAAAAATGGTCTTAGTCATGAGTGATGATAATTATAACGGCTGAAAAGAGAGCAGAAAGCAATTATGAAACCCAGGGCGAGCACACCGAATATTTTGGGGGGCAGCGCCAAAAATGACAACAAAATTTGGGGAAATTGCCGACGAATTCTCAAAGAATCTCTGCTAGCTTGCCCTGAATACTTGACAAGAGATTGAGAAGTGAGAAGGCCATGCATCGGCCTAAGCCTAAGCCTAAGCCTAAGCCTAAGCCTACGCCTAAGCCCAAGCCTAAGCCTAAGCCTAAGCCTAAGCCTAAGCCCAAGCCTAAGCCTAAGCCTAAGCCTAAGCCTAAGCCTAAGCCTAAGCCTAAGCCTAAGCCTGAGCCTAAGTCTAAGCCTAAGCCTAAGCCTAAGCCTAAGCCTAAGCCTGAGCCTGAGCCTAAGCCTGTGTCTAAGTCTAAGCCTAAAAGCGAATGCCAAGCCGAAGCACGGCTTTTCCTAACTTCCGGACTTTCTACAGTATGTTCCAGGCCCCAAAACGGCAAAATAACCACCATTCCCACCCTCCCCCTCCCCATCCAATCCCAAGGTATATTTGCCGGCCATAAAAACGGCTGTCGACGTTGCCACGGGAGCATCCTTGTCTGGGCGCGTCGCCTGTATGTTTTTCGCAACCACCCCCACTTTGTACTACATCTCCTCTGTCTCCGCTGTCCCGTCTTCAGTCGATATTCTATAAATTTTTATGGGCCACCCGGGTGACTGTGATCGTCTTTTTTGGGTGTGCCTAAAAATAGGTCGCGGATTTTAGAAAATTAGCGGCTAAGATTTTTCAAAATAGAGGGAAAAGGTTTTATGGGACCCGCAGCAAATCGAGAATTATAGAGTGTGAGGAAGACAGAGAGAGAGAGAGAGAGAGAGAGAGCGAGCGAGAGAGAGAGAGAGAGGAAGAGAGAGGTTGCATCGACTTTAAAAAAACTAAAAAATCGGCACAATGTGGCACTTTTCAGGACAGGAAGCCGACTGACCAGCGCCCGGTTATCGAAAGACCCCTATGCAAATTTAGAGCCGATTGTCTAGCCAGACGCCATCGAAAACAGCAGCGGCTGTTTGGGGATTTCCTCGAAATGACGGAAAAGTGGAGTATGATCGTCTACGCGAGCTTTGAAAGTTGTTTGGCGATTTACGGAGCTGGTACTATGAGCGAGAGAGAGAGAGAGAGAGCGAGAGAGAGGAGAGAGAGAGAGAGAGAGAGAGAGAGACGCCCGAGGTACACGAGCCCAAGCCTAAAACTAAGCCCAAGCCTAAGCCGAAGCCTAAGCTAAGCCTAAGCCTTTTTTTTTGTTTTTTTCCCTGCCACATTTTCGGTGAACGCTTATTTGGCATAATGTCATTTGGCATAATTTTCATTTGGCATAATGTCATTTGGCATAATTTTCATTTGGCATAATTTCATTTGGCATAATTTTCATTTGGCATAATTTTCATTTGGCATAATTTTCATTTGGCATAATTTTCATTTGGCATAACGTTATTTGGCATAATGTTATTTGGCATAATTTAGCCTGTTTATACATGTCACACAACATCACAGGTAAAGACAAAGACAAGGACAAAGACGCTGCTGGGTGGAATAGACCCGCGGGGGGTTGGGACTACTTCGGTTCTTCTTCGAACCGCGTTGGCGCATCTTTTCGTACTTGACATCGATCCGAACTTGATCGCCACCCAATTCCTTCAGGAACTGCCAATTGTTGTTGTGGGAATTGTTGATTTGGCGAGCGAATTATGCCAAATGACAATTATGCCAAATGAAAATTATGCCAAATGAAAATTATGCCAAATGAAAATTATGCCAAATGAAAATTATGCCAAATGAAATTATGCCAAATGAAAATTATGCCAAATGAGATTATGCCAAATGAAAATTATGCCAAATGAACGTAAATCCACATTTTCATCTCGGGCATTCAACAGCGTGGCATAAAGCGACAAGCCCAAAATCCTGGTCTGGGGTCCATGATCTATCCCGGGTGGCCCAACCCTAGTATTCCCTGGGGCCCTCCAAAAGCCGTGGCCATGGGGTGACACTTCCCCGAGACCACATTTTTCTACTAAAAACTTGGCTGGTTGTGCTCTTTCTGTCACATTTGCATGTCGTGTCTTTTCGTATATTTTGTGTGCGGAATTTAGCGGAAATGGCAGGCTAACAGAGATTCTTTGGGAAAGGGCAGCCGAGCAGAGATTCTTTAGGAGACCACCGAGCAGAGATTCTTTAGGAAAGGGCAGGCTAATGGCGATAAATTGTTTTTTGTAAATATTCTTATCCGGCTCAAATTCCCAATTCTCTTACTCGGATGTCCCGAGAGGGCCCGGCTTGGGGTCCATGCAATATGCTAAAAGATGCCATTTATCATCGTATCGCCTCGGGGGCCCAGGGTCACAATGGGTCCCCAAACCGGCTACTTCTGGCCCCACAACTTTTACATCAGTTCAAGCTTTTGGTTACAGTAAATAGCGATAACTTGCTCTCTCTCTCTCTCTCTCTCTCTCTCTCTCTACGTCTCGTTTTCTCTCGTGATCTCTATCTCTCCCTCTCTCTCTCTCTCTCTCTCTCTCTCTCTCTCTCTCTCTCTCTCTCTCTCTCCTTCCTAACCCCTTTCTAGTCATAATGTGCATCCCAAATGCTCTCGCCTATCAATGCCTACTACAAGTGAAACGGATATACCACAAATACAGGTTGGTTTTTCGATTTGGGCAGCTTGCTTAGGTCAGGCTTGGACTTACAAGGAGTCGCTTTTAGGTGCTTTTAGAGTTTCGGGACGGGACTTAGCTAGTTCGATAGAGAAAAAAATTCTGAGCAACATCCCGTTTTCAAAAAGTGCTGATCGATAAAGCTGTTTTCGAAAATTTAATTTAAAGTTCGCGCTTTTTTCTAGTTTTCGGGTCCATTTCCTCGGTGCACGTCGTTTTCGGGGCTGGGCAGGGCACCATTCGTAACCCCCCCGCCAATGCCTCCAACACAGGTTGCATTGGCGTATTCGTAGCGCGCTTGCCTACCAACTTTTTAACCTCTTTTTGCCTCGGGTTCGAATCTTCGCGCTCGCTAACCCTTTGCTTTTTGGTTCTTGAGCCCGTTATCGGTGCATAAAATTTTAATTAGCAAAAAAGCAAAGAGTTAACGATAAATAAGAATCGAACTTGTGGCAAAAGGTCAAAAAAAAAATTCGTAGGCCATCGCACTAGCCACTTGGCCATGCCTAGGACGGGATCCAAGGCGCCTGGAGTCCTCATGTGGCAGAGGCGATCGACCGCCGCAAATAACCTCAAATCACCACAAGGGTCCGGACACCGGGAACATTTTTAGTTAAATTAAATTTTCTAAAACAGCTTTATCGATCAGCACTTTTTGAAAACGGGATGTTGCTCAAAATTTTTTTCTCTATCGAACTAGCTAGGTCCCGTCCCGAAACTCCAAAAGCACCTAAAAGCGACTCCTTGTTAGACTTAGGCTTACGATTAGAAATCAAATTGTCCAAAATCCCAGTCTTTCCCACGTGCTGCTCCTCACCTCCTATTTTCTCTTCATCGTCGGCTCCGGATTCACCTTTTACGCGATGGAAGCGAGATATACTTCGATGGTCCGCGCGAATATGGCTCGACGACATCAGACTTCGAGGAATAGGTAGGTTAAGTGCCAAATAACGGCTGTACATACGGCTATTGTAAACAGTTTGTATTTTGGGCGTCAATAGCCGCTATGCTCCATTCTGTAGTTTGTAGCTTCTTTCTTACCGGATTTTCCAGATTCGTCTCCCATGCACTGTTGCCCGAGATTTTCAACAACTCCAAGCTGCTGCTCTATATCCATGAAAACAAGTCTAATTTCTTAAAGGTACTTGGGTGGTTTGGGAGAGAGAGAGAGCGAGAGAGAGAGAGATACCAATGACGATACCATCCTTCAGAATGTTGTGGTCAAAAAGCTCGAAGACTACGAGCGAATACTCCGACTGCGCAAAGAATTTCGACCGCCGCAAGAAGTCACCGTGCCCAGCTCCTTGATTTTTGTAATTTTCACATTTTTTGAACGCTTTTTTCTGGATTCAGGCATTTTCTTGTGCGACGACCATCGGCTACAGCCATGTCTATCCGATGACACAAGCGGTACGGATAGGCCTAGCTTAGACTTAGGCCGGCTTCGGCTTTGGCTTATGCTTGGGCTTAGGCTTAGCTTGGGCTTTGGAGACTTGAGCTCATGCTCAGCTCTGAATATCTTTTCAGGGTCGCCTCTTCTCAATTTTCCTTACAATTGTTGGAGTGCCATTTACGATGATCGTCATCAATGATTTGGCCTATTTGTTGACACGCCTGCTCGACTTTCCTTGTTACATTTTTGGCATGTTTTTAGAGAGAGATAGAGAGAGAGCGAGAGTGAGAGACAGAGCGCGAGTGAGATAGAGTGAGAGAGAAGGTGACTGAATGAGTGAGTGAGTGAGAGAGAGAGAGAGAGTGAGCGCAAGACCGCGAAGAGGAATCTATTTTTTAGAAAAGCTCTGGAACGTTTTTCGCTTCTGCACCATCCGCGTACTCCCCGAAAGCGAGCTGCTGCAAAAATGGGGCGCCCGAGGGGAGACAAGGTATTCGTAAGACTACCGTACTTACCAATTTTAGGATCGACTACCGGCTGGCCAATTCCAATCGATTATTGGGGATCCCTGTAACTTTGGCATCGCTGGCGCTTATCGGTGGGTCACATAGCAGCTTGAGGCTTTCAAAGCCTAAAGCCAAGCCTCATCCTAGGTCTAATTTAAAGGAAAACTCCAAAAAGGCCCAACTTCAGGCTGGCTTGCTCTGGGATGCGCTCTCGCGGCAAATATCTATACCCGGGAGCCGCTGAGCAACCTACTGTACTTTGTCATTTCCACGCTGGCTACTGTAGGCCATGCGCAATTCGTATTACCTGGTACGTGGTTTTAAAGGGGCTAAAAAACGTCAAATCGTTACTTTTCTCCCTCCTTACTCGCTTAGTCGACGAAATAGGTCGAGTCCGAGACATATCAGTTCCCCAACAAATTTTTATACACTTAAAAAGTGGATTCACTTAAAATTTCAGCGGACTCCCCAACGCTCTTGGCAAGCTGGGCGGTATTCACGCTACTGGGGCTGGCCCTGGTCTCCCTCTTCGTCAACCTGATGCACACCAAATTTGCGTCGGCCTATTGGATACCGGGTAGAATGATGCGGACGGCACCCAATGGGTAAGCCTAAGCCTAAGCCGAAGCCGAAGCCTAACAAGCCGAAGCCTTACTTTGTTCAGGCAATGCCCTCGATGTCTACACCTGGCCACCTTCGACTCGTTTGAAGAGCTGGAGGGTAGCGAGCCGTCCCTCAATCACCTCACCACGCTCGGCATCTTTCAGACCGAAGTGAGAGAGAGAAAGCGAGAGAGAGAGAGAGAGAGAGAGAGAGAGAGAGAGAGAGAGAAGGCAGTTAGATAACTACCAATTGTCACCTCCAAACCCACGTTTTAAGGATAAATGCCGTTTGATCAACTTTGAACGTGCAGAAAAGGCTTGTGTCGATGCGATCGTGCAGACAGAGGATCGGAACGGAAATCAGGAACCGGAACCCCACCTGATCGGATCGATATACGAGGAGCCTCGAGTCTACCTGGCAGCCGGACGGAATGGAATTTCAAAGGTTTTATCCATTTTCTACGTTGATTTGTTATGCTTCAGGATGACGTCCATAGTCTGCTGGCGGAAACCTACGCATCACAACCACCTCGATTGATATTTTGATGTCAATAAAGATCGTTGGTCAGCGGAACTTGATGTCTCTCCGCTTTCTTCTTTGTCTCGCTGTTTCTCTACACTCTGGTTTTCAACAAAAATATTTTTTAACTTATTCCGACGTAATTTTGCATGGAGATTTTTAAAATCACAATGAGAATGACAGGGAAAATGGGGAAAATGAGGAAAAAGGCCTCAAAACAAAAGCCTAAGCCTAAGCCGAAACTTCTGAAGCCTGAAAAATTCGGCTGGGGATGCGACATCCTCTTTCTTTCGCTGTCCCTCCACGCTCTCGTTTTCAAAAAATCGGTTTTCGACGTCTTCCCAAGTAGTTTTGCATGGAGATTCCAAAAATCATAGTGAGAATTACCGTCGCGGCGGAAGATGCGCCCAAAACAGCCCCCGAAGTCTCGACGATGCGACTTGGGGCGGCACCGGTATGCGATCACGCCTTTTCTCGCGATCCCTCCGCTCCCTCGCCTACAAAAAATATTTTTGAACGTATTCCGGCGTATTTTTACATGGAGATTCCAAAAATCATAGTAAGAATGGCTGGCTTTGTATATTTTACGTGCAAAATGTCTGGTATATCTCTGTCTAGCGCATTTTTGATTTGCTCATACATTCTTTATTGGATTCTCTACATCTCTAACCAACTGAAAACAGTATTTGGCCACATTTTGAAGTATATAGATAAAAAAATCGTGTAGATAATGGACACATTAAAAACGAATAAATGTGTGCATCAATGGGACCCGAGTTATAGAACACAAAATTGCATACAGGTTAGGGTTAGAGATTTTGGAAAAAGAGAGAGGGAGAGAGAGAGAGAGAGAGAGAGAGAGAGAGAGCGCGAGAGAAAGTTAGTCTATTTCCCCAGCCGATTCTAGCATGCAAATAGAATCCGGGAGGTTAGTAGGGGGGACTTGTTATTTTTGGGTCCCTATGACCTTTATGCAAATTTAATTCGGCAGCGTTTTACAGGCTGACTTCCCATAATTTGTGTAAAAAGCCAGCAGAAAACCTGGACAATCACACTGATTAGAAAAACATAGAATATCGAATATACAGTAATCTCTCTTCTTCAAAATCGACAAGTTTTCAAAAACAACCGTGTGCACCGGATCGGTTATGGGGGAAAGCGACGAGAATTCACGACTTCGATGCATTTTTCTAGGGGTTTTTGGGTATGGCCATTAGTGCTGCTCCAGCTCGATGAAGCGCGAATGTCGGCGCGTGTCGACGAATTGGCGGGATCTGGAATGGAGCATTGTAAAAGAAAAGCCTTCCAGTTAAGCTAATCCTAAGCCTAAGCCCAAGCCTAAGCGAAGCCTAAGCCCAAGCCTAAGCCTAAGCCTAAGCCAGCAAAGATCACTGAAACCGACCTCCGCTTCGGCGTCGACCACATCAGCTCGTGATCGCGGCTCATCTGGAGGTAGCTGGCCTTTGGCGGGGGCTCATCAAAGAAGCAGGTATTTCGATTCTCGTCGCACTCCGCGGGGAATATCTAAAAAGAAAACTATGTATTAAAAAAAAAATCAAGTCAACTTTTTTAGAGCCCATCGAGGTCCGCTAGGCAAGATTTTGCCTTATTGGGCCTTTAGAAGATGTTCGAAACTATGAGAGCGAGCTAGCTGGCTAGCTGAGCTAGCTTGCCGACAGCATGCTTTTAAAATACCTACCCGGCTGCCTCTCCTGCTAGCGGCTTCGTCCACCTCATCAATAGGTTTCAGTTCCTTGGGCTCGCGCTCCCTGACCTTCCGCTGGTCCTTCCAGTCACTCGGTTTCCATTGGACAAAGACGAGGCGGCAGGGGAGTTGTTCCTAGAAATAAGGATTGAATTCAGAGAGAGAGAGAGAGAGAGAGAGAGAGAGAGAGAGAGAGAGAGAGATGACAAATTTTTACCTGGATAACAGAATGATGCGTGACGAGCGTCTGAATTGAGGGGAAGAACTTCTCAGCCGCCTGGAACTTGATCCGGAAGCCCTTGGCGTTCCGGACGAGCAGGTAGTGGCTGACGCCGGTCGGGTTATGAGAGAGTGGCACTCGCACGGAGAGGGCCAGACTGAAAAGGGGAATATTGTAAAGTTTAACAACTGCTAAAATGTGTAAGCCTAAGCCTGCCTAAGCCCCTAAGCCACCCATAAGCCTAAGCCTAAGCCTAAGCCTAAGCCTAAGCCTAAGCCTAAGCCTAAGCCCAAGCCCAAGCCTAAGCCCAACCTATCATGAATACCATACCTTCTCCGACTCTCCGAGTACCGTACGACAAACGCCCCCTCGGGGTGGGCAAGGAGGTTGGTCATCAACGACTCGCGGGAGGGGAGACGGCAGAAATAGCCGACGGTGTCGAGCTGCTTCTCCAGCGTCTCGTCGACGAGGTAGATTTGTTCTCCACTACAAGATCAGAGAGTGAGAGGTGGGGTCATAGCAGGAGCGAGAGTGAGAGAGCGAGACAAAGAGAGAGAGAGAGAGAGAGAGAGCGACAGCTACCAAAAAACTCACAGCTTCTCATCATACACAATCCTCGGTTCCTTGGCAGCTAGTGTGGAAGTGCGGCTGGTGGTCTGGGTTCCGGTAGATGAGGTATCTTCCGGTTCAGCCAGCGGCTAAAGGGAGGGCGACAGGTGAGAAGGAAAATGATGAAATTACCGGTGACTTGATGTCCTCCTGGGGTTTGGGTCGGCACAGTGGGGTGGCGGCCAGGCCCTTGCCGAGGTCGATGGTTGAGATCTGGAAAAGGATAGTGCAAAGAGGTTTAGGCTTCGGCTTGACTTCGTCTTGACTTAGGATTAGAATTAGGCTTGACTTAGACCTTGAATTTGACTTGACGCTGGCGCTTGATCCGACTTGGAATTAGGCTTCGACTTAGACTTAGACTTGGCTTGGATTCGACTTCGTCTTAGGCTTACCATTCTCAGCATCGCTACCCCGAGCTTGATCCCAGCCCGGGTCATCGCGGACGTGATTAGTGGGGACGGAATTTTGACGGAATTGGCAGGAGCTTGGAGCTTAGGCTTGGGCTTAGCTTAGCTTTGGCTTAGGCTTGACTTCGCCCGAAATCGTTTAAAGTATTTAGCGGCGTTAAACGTTTCTGAATAATCGAGAAGATCTAGCCAGGATCGCGGATGCAGATGCAAATGAGGGGAGGGGCCCGAACGTGGCCTGGGGGCGCAAGGGGGAGGGGTCAATGGCCATCAGTCCATAGCGATACTATAGACAGAACGGGGCCATGGGAACACAGCCGGTCGGGAGGTGTCTTGGGCTGATCTCGAGCTTGGCCAGCCAAAGCCCGCCGCGCCCCGCGTGAAGCCAGGCAAGCCGGGGTCCCTGGGCTTCGTGCTGGGAATGTGTATGGCGTGGGGGGCGGGAGAGATGGCAACAATGACAAGGTGACAGATTGCCGGGGTGCGCGAAACATCACGCATATATGGGACAACACCGGGCCTTGGTCTATTCAAATTTGGCCCTGGGACCTTGGAAATTTTGTTTAAAGGGCCACTAAAGGCAAAAGTGGCTGTGGATTCGCAGCCCAACAGAATTTGGAAAGCTCAAAGATTTGGTTTATTCAAATTTGGACCTCGGAACTTTGCATTTTCAGGGATTTCGCAAGCAAAAAACAAACTCGAAAGAACTAGTAAAAACGAAACTGGCTATGGATTTGTCTTTTAAAACCATTCGGAGGCCCTAAAATATCGTTCCACGAGTTCTAAACGACCAGTGAAGGCAAGAAAATCTTGTAGTTTTTGGTTTATTGCCCAAAAATCGTTTCGCGCCATTTTTAAAGCCTTTTGAAGGCAAAATCTTCGTGGATTACGAGAAATTCCGTTTTAAAAGCCCCTGAAGGACAACAATTTTTACGCAATGCAGGCTCTGACCAGGGGCATCTAAAGGCGCTACGTCTAGGAGAAGGTCCGATTTGCCAAAAAAATCTCTGCTAGCATACCATCACCGTGCTATCAGAATACCGTAACCAAGGTCATCTCCGTTTAAGAAAATTATCCACTTTTTAGAAAAACGTCTCATCAATCCCGATTGATCATTTTTGTAGTGCTGCGTCTCCGTGGTGAGCAGATACGTGGGGTGTCAATGGCCAGTTGTATTCCAGCCCAGTCAAATTACGCAACGCTCCGCGACAGTACGGTCTGGCCAGATCGCCCAGAATCAACCGCTAATCCGCCTTTTTGACCGATTAGAGGGGTGATGTAACTTGCAGCGATTTTTGAGCAGATTTGTAGCCCAAAAAATGGATTTCCGAATTTTTAGAGCTTGAAATTAAAAATTTTTCAAATTCTAATGTTTTACAGGATTATAGATTTCTAGAAAGCCTTAGTTACTCGATAATGTCTAAATTTATGGGGGAAGATAGGTTGTGAAAGCAATTAATTGCATTTTCTAACGATGGTTTATCGCAAAAATCTACTTTTTTATTGCGTATTAGAACTTTTTATAGAATTTTTGTCTTCCGGGTACCTGTAAAGCTCTGTTTTATCTACAGCCATTTCCACAACGTTTCAAACAACGCTCTCGTGCCAAGAGGACGACCCAAAAGTCAAGGTCGCCCCGTTTTTGCCCTCCTTTCTAGTGGGGGAGATGATCTGGAAATCTGACACTTGTACGCGACAGTACGCACTACACCTCGCAACGACATGGTTAACGGATTATACCCGGCCCGCCCGAGCTGGCCAAGGTCAAATTTCTGGGTCGGCTAGAAGGGGAAGGGGGTGAATTTTGAAGTTTAAAGGGCATGTGAAGGCAAAAACCAAGCCTGAGCTAAGCCTAAGTTAAGCCTAAGCTAAGCCTAAGCTAAGCCTAAGCTAAGCCTAAGCTAAGCCTAAGCTAAGCCTAAGCCTAAGCCTAAGCCTAAGCCTAAGCCTAAGCCTAAGCCTAAGCCTAAGCCTAAGCCTAAGCCTAAGCCTAAGCCTAAGCCTAAGCCTAAGCCTAAGCCTAAGCCTAAGCCTAAGCCTAAGCCTAAGCCTAAGCCTAAGCCTAAGCCTCCTCTCATCATTTCATACCCCCAGGGCCCATTTCTGGGCTCATCAAAGCAAACAATCAACCCTGACAGTGTGACCCAATCAGTTTTAGGGGGCCCAACCCGTCCCAATATGTAGATCAGATAAAAGTAAGCGCCGCTCGAGCCTATAAACAAGCCCCGGGGGCCCATCAAGCCCGCGGGGCAGCAGATATTGCCAAGATTTTTGAGGAATCCGTGAAAATGACGCCGGAGGGCATGTCCGCCACCTGGCTGCTCCCCTGAAGGCGATCCGGGGGGACGAGATATCTTTTTATCTGCCACCGATCAGCGGGTTGGGGGTGAAAGAATTATGCAACTTTTTGGTCTCTACGCCTAAACTGCGAATTTCTAGTCTATTAATGCAAAGATGACCAGTATGACTTGGGTTTTGTAGCCTAAGGAATGTCGAAGGGATTTTCTATAGCTTCCTGACAGCCTGGGAGTTATAATTTGCATATTCTTGGCTTGGGATCTGTTTGTAAGTCGCTGAAGGCGATAACCAGATACTATTAGACAAGACATTGCCTTTACAGTCCATTTAAAATTTAAAATAGACTTATTTTAGCTCGTCGAAAAGCCTACGTATTTACACTTCTCTGGCTCTTAAAAATTCGGGATAGGGCTTTTTTATGCATTTTTAAGCCACAACAAATATTTTTGCCTTTCCAACCCCTGTAAAACCGCAATTTCCATCTTTTAGATCCATTTAAAAAGTTTAAATCAATTGATTTTGATGGCTTTAGCTCAATTGAAATGTCCACTTTCTGTCCCCTGTACATCATTAAAATCCCAGTTTTTTTGCCATTTGGCGCTTTAAAACGCCCAAAATATATGCTAATTCTCACTTTCTGGTCTCTTTAAAAGTTCGAAAACCCTTTAAAGCGGAAAAATAGTCAAAATTCCCTAGAATTTACTCTCCCTTCGCCCTTTCTGCAACAGGCTACCTTGTGGGGGAACAAGTGTTCCACAAATAACCCCAGGCGAAAAACGGGAGGATGTCGAGTGGCTTGTATGCAAATAAGGGAGGATGAGGGGAGCACAACCGGTGGCCCGACAAGTGGCCCACTGGCACGCTACGCACCAAGAGCTCAGTCTCATTTTTCAAAAAAGCGATCGAGAGGAGAGAGAGAGAGCGAGAGAGCGAGAGAGAAGAGAGAGATAACCTCAGCACTCGCACCATCGAAACGGTATTGATTATTGAGGAAGGGAGACTTCAATGCCCCTTTAAAATCCTACACTAGCAACAGAAACACAGAAAAATTTATTTCGACTACGGATTTGCCTTCAGTAGACCTTTAAAATGGTAACTGAGGAAAAAGCGCAAAAAATGTTTAAGCTAATTTGCTTTCAATGCCCCTTGAAAGCTACTTTTTGCTGCTAAAATTCGTAAGGAATCACCGCTAGTTCCCCACGAAAGCCAAAAAAACCTGCGAGTCTGCCCTGAAAATTCTCAAACGATCACTGCTAGGTTGCCCTCAGAATTTCTAAAGAATCGCTGCGCCGATGCCGCATTCGAAATTTTTCCTTCCCTGTACCGTTAGAGGCAAGGTAGCAGCGACTCGTGGATTCAGCCAAATTCTACAAAGGCAGGCTTGCAGAGATTCTTAAGCAAATTTAGCAGTTTCAGACAAGGGCAAGCTAGCAGAGATTCTTTGGGACTCTGAGATTTTTGAGGTCTTTGGGACGAGCAGAGGTTATTTGGAAATCCGGAAAACTCTATGGACCGGGCAAGCTAGCAAAGATCCCTTGAGAACCCAAACGTAACTCTAATATTTTTGTTTGCCCACCATCGCCACCATCGTTTATAGACTTTCCCAAGGACCACGAATGGTTGCGTCAACTCATTCTCCAAACAACCAGCCAAAAAATGGCAATTAGGGGCCACCAGATTGACCTGGGAGCGCCCAGGGCCCATCCTTTAATTGGGGCCCTGGTAGGGGCCAAGCTTGGATCTGGGTCTTCATCGTCGTCTTAGCCTAAACAAACGATCAGACCTGGGCAGCTGGTTTTGAAAATCGAAGCGAAAGATAGAGAGAGAGAGCGAGCGAGATCTCCCTCAGCCTTCACCACCCCTTTAAAACCCCGCGGGACCAATTTCCCATTTTCGCACAAGCCTTTCACGGTGCTAGGAGCCGAGCGGAACACTGTCGAGCTGACAAATCGAGCGTGCCCGCAAAAAATCACTCGGCGCCTCGGCAAAAAGGCTATGCTCACAATGCGCATTCGAATGGCCAGCTGGGGCAGGAAAAAGTGAGGACTAGAGTTGGGAAGTCAAGTCTAAGCACAAGCCTGATACGGCTAATGCAAAGACGAAGCCCAAGCCTAAGGCTAAGCCCAAGCCTAAGCATAAGCCTAAGCCAAGTCTAAGCTTGAGCTCGAGCCTAAGCCCAAGCCTAAGCCTAAGCCTAAGCCTAAGCCTGAGTTGAGCCTAAGCCAGTCAAGCCAAGCTACTTCAATAGCGCAAAAATCCTCGAAACTCGACTAACCCGCTTAGAGTCCTTGACGTTCGCCGAGCTGGAGAAGCGGTGGATGGCCGAGGAAAATACAGCGCTCACCGGGCGGCGTTTTCTGAAAAAATGGGTGTTAAAGAAAGCAATTTCCTAAAGGATCTCTGCTAGCCTACCCGCGTATACGAGGCTCCGAAATAAGCTGTGCTATCTTCCTTCCAAAGAATCTCTGCTAGCTTGCCGATTCTTCCAGGTCCTTCCCAAAGAATCTCCGCTAGCCTGCCGGTTTCGCCACTGTTTCCTCAAGGTTCTCTGCCAGTTTGCCGAGTCTGAGGCGTCATTTAGTTTCTATTCGAAGTCCAAATGGCGCAACTGTGACCATATGGTTGTCATATTAGCGGGGGTGTGCGTGTGTCTGTCTGTTTGTCTAACTATCCATTCGTCTCTCTGTCCCTAATTATGAGCGATTGGGACATTTTATAGGGAGGGGGATCTTCTCACCCTAAGAAAAGCGAGAGAGAGAGAGAGAGAGAGAGAGAGAGAGAGAGTGAACGAGAGAGAGAGAGAGGGAGGGAGAGAGAGAGGGAGGGAGAGAGAGATATGACGGATTAGCATACCGATCCCCCTGCCAAGACATGGACTACCTGCTGGGGGGCATGAGAAAGTTGGCAAAAAAGGTTACTCTAGCCACTCGCAGGGTTTGATCTATTATTTGGCCCTCCTCTAACGATCCGTTAAAGATAAGATCTGATTGTCCCGTATGCTAATTAGGGTGGGAAAGACCAAAAATAGGGCGTTTGTAGGTTACGGTAATTGCGTTTTCCACCTCCATGCTCAAAATGTCGATTTTCCATTAAATTTAATCTGTTTAATACTTAACAGACTTAAGAATTGAAAAATTTAGACATTTAGCCAATTAAATATGAAATTTTCATAAAGGGCAATGGTTTAAATTCCGATAAAAACCGCCTAAATAAAGATAAAATGAAAAACTAAAATCCTCCATATTTAAATCATAAAATTGTAATACTTGCTCATCCTGTGGCTTCCCAAGCCCTTTAAAGTCGTAATTTAAGTGGGATTTTCGACTTTAAAGGTCTCGTGAAGTATAGCAGGCCATTACTGTACTAAATTGTAGACAAAAGCATTTTTCCAAATCTTAAAGGGACCCAGAACTCAATCTAATCGCATTACGCAAAGAAATTCTCATCCACTGTACCTCTTGGCCTTATTCTCAGCGTCGGGCATCGGTGTGCAGACGACCTCCTTGCCCTTGCCGAGCAGCCGCGACAGGAAGGCCGTCGAGGAGACGCGTTGCCGCGGCTCCAGTGGCATTCCCTGGAAACATGGGAGGTTTTAGGGTACTGTAAAAATAGAGAAATGACAATTTTCGAACGGAACTACAAAAAAACTACAAAAAATCGGCAGTCCGAAAATTCAAAAATTTATATTAGCCATGTCTAAGCCTAAGCCTATACCTAGGCCTAAGCCCAGTCAAACGAATGCTTCCTTGATAAAAATTACCATTTAAAACTCAAAATACCGTACCCAGTACGATACAGTACTCAATACAGTGCCCAAAATAAGATAAAAACACAAAAATCAGATAAAATATGCAAAATAGCTTGAGGGCATGGACTGTCTGTCTGTGGCTCTCCATGTATGGGGGCTGCCTGTCAACTGCGGAGGCGGGATCCCGAGCAGCCCGGGATGGGAATGGCCAATTGACCGGAAGGAAAGGAGAGAGAGAGAGAGAGAGCTAGAGAGAGAGAGAGAGAGAGAGAGAGAGAGAGCGAGAGAGCGAGAGAGACAGCAAGACTACCACAGCACTTCACGCACAGTTGGAAGCCCCCGGGGGTCCTGATTTGGGGCACCGGTCCAACTTTGGGGCGACAACTTATGGATTGACACGGTTTTTGTGTGTTTGCTTGTTTTTTGGGCTTGTTTTTCGGTTGAAAGTCACGTTAAAAAGTCTAAAAAGTATTACTGTGAACCCTTCGTGGTCTGGAACTGCCACTTTCGGTCGGCTCACGTTCGGTAGCGATCAGAACTAGGAAAAATCGGAATTATTTTGTTGTTCTGATATATATGAGTCGCAAGAGTGAGAGAGTAGAGTGAGAGAGAGAGAGAGAGCGAAAGGACACGACCGATTTTCCGATTATAAAACTCCCTGCCCCGGGTAAACAGAGAAATTTTGTGTCTCGTCTCTGGACATTCGAAAATTGAGGCTCACCCCCAAAGCCTCCTGTTTTGCTGGGTATACGGTAGTTGAAGCAAAAAATCCCGAAAGAAGGGGATTTACGCGCGTGCCGCCAAGCGGCCTTTTGCCCCGGGAAGTTCAGGACGTTCAGAGAAGGGCAGGTAATTCAAAAAGCAGCTAAGCCTAATTCCAAGCCTAAGCCTAATTCGAAGCCTAAGCCTAAGCCTAAGCCTAAGCCTAAGCCTACGCCTACGCCTAAAGTGAAAGTGACGAAATTCGACGGAGACCACAAAGCAAATTAGCATAAACGCCTCCATACTCATTCCAGCGGAATGGCTTTCGAAATGGGTCGACAACTGTCGCGTTCCTGGAAGGTTGCCCGGTACTGTAGTCAATGCACTTTTAGGGGGACAACTGGAGAGAGATTTAGAGTCTGGTTAGCTAGCAGAGATTCTTTAGGAAGGATTCTTTAGGGTAGGTTGGCAGAGAAAATTGAGGAGACGGCTTTCCGAAAAATAGACGAAGAAGGAACTATGCAATGTCAGCTTGGGGTAACTAGCAGAGAATTTTGAGGAGGTTTAACGTAGGCTAGCAGAGAGATTTTAGAAAATTGCGAAGGTGCCTAGAAGCTATTCTTCCGGAGCTTACCTCCTAGGCCAGCAGGCTAGGCTAGCTGGCAGAAAACTTTTGGGTTCCAAGCTTCCAGATCCGATAAGGGCCAGTCAGCAGGGATCCTTGGGGAATTCGAGTCGGAGTCAAGCCGGATACGGTAGAAAGTGCACACACTTTTCCGGGGGGTGACAAATTGGAGTGGGTGGGCTCAGCCTGGCCTGGGGGTCATTGCGATCTAAAGTGCAGATAGGGGGCAAGCTAGCAGCCACAATTGGCACCTATACATATACATTGAAGGGGGAATAGCCGATAATTGGGACATTTAAAAGGAGAGAGAGAGAGAGAGAGAGAGGGAGAGAGAGAAGGGTTAAGAGAGAGAGAAAGGTGTCTAATCGAATGGGTAGATCGGCAAGACGCACCGGGCCTTAATCCGGAAATATTAGATCGACAATCAGATAATGGACAATGCTAGAAAAACGCAATATTTTGAGTAGTGGAGGGCCGGCTAGCAGAGACATTTTAGGAAAAGATGGCAAGCTAGCAGAGCTACTTTAAAAACGGCAGGCTAGCAGAGATTCTTTAGGAAAGGGGCAGGCTAGCAGAGGTTCTTTAGGAAAGACAAGCTAGCAGTGAGCGCAAAACCTGGACACCTTGTTCAATTAGTTCCCCTTGAGTCGACCTCGACAAGGGGCGGGCAGCTAGCAAAGGACCTTTCAGAAATGGGTGCCCCGGAAAAACCCTACGTTGACGCTCGAAATGACCCAATTGGCAAGTCTCCCCCCCCCCTCGCGGAGTACTCACAGTACCAAGGGCTACAAATTACGGGCGCTCGCCAGGGGCTCCAGAAACAGATTGCCGGGGTAGATTATGGGCTCGAAATTGGGGGCCGAGACGACACCGCACTTTACGGGTAGGTGAGGGGACACTTGTAAAGTCGGAAAGTTTCTCGGCTAGCCTGCCCTTTCCCAAAGAATCTTTGCTAACTTGCCCTTTTGCAAAGAATTCTTGCTAGCTTCCCTTTCCTAAAACATCTCTGCTAACTGCCCTAACATTCAAATCACGACCTGATCGCTCCGAATCGCTCTTCCCATACTTTACTACCATCAGACTATCATCAGAAAAATATGCGAGAATCAAATCGCTGGCCCCGGCGCGGCGCCTGGGAGAACCCGCCAAAACGACGCAACTTTCCGCCAAGCACCGCCAGGGCCGCTGAGTCAGCATACGGTAGAAAGGGCGAGGTTTAGGACAACGCGGAACCTGTGGGAAATGACGCGAGCGGGGCCGTTTGAAAACTGTGCGGCACCAGTTTTTGTTTGCGAGTCGATTTTTGAGTATCTGGGGGGGATGATTCAGCGGGTGTCAATAGAACGGCAGTGGAATCGGTGTCTAGAAAAGGGGTGAGAGTTTGTGATAACAGAAATGAGTGGGCGGGTCGCGTTTTAGGCGTAGGGATGGGATTAGGCTTAAGAGTGGTTAGGCTTTGGCTTAAGCTTACGCTTGGGCTTAGGCTTCACCACCCCAAAAAATAAGGCGATCCGTCATAGCCAATTTGTCGGCGAGTAGCAGTGTATTATTGGTGCGAGGAGGACTTTTGACCCTTGGAATTATCCGAGAGAGGGAGAGAGAGAGAGAGAGAGAGAGGGAGGGAGAGAGGGAGAGACTGAGTGAGAGAGACAACAGGTGATCCGTGTCTGACTGGGTATACCAATGAAAAGGGTCGGGGGGTCTCTGCCTGGGCTATCATATTGTGGCCACCTGTCGTGCCAACGACCATTTTACAGTCTCCTGTAGATACTATAAAGAAGAGAGACAGACAGAGAGGGAGAGAGAGAGAGAGAGAGCGAGACCAAAAAGAGAGAAACGTGGACAGCAAGTTTTGACCCAAATGCGATTGTTTTTCTTGAAGCACCAGGCTGTAGAAAAGAGCAAGAATTAGTGAGAGAGAGCGAGAGAGAGACTGACTCCCAGACAAACTCCAAAACAGACGGACACTTGTCGCCCGGGGGTTGTATACGGCCTCGCGGGCCCAATGTCAAAGCCGCCACCCTTTTTATGGGCCCACCCCTGAAAGGGATACCGCTCTTTTTCCCTGCTCTCATTTTCCCTCTCTCTCTCTCTCTCTCTCTCTCTCTCTCTCTCTCTCTCTCGCACCCCTCACTCTCTCGTTCCCTCTTACGATTGGTATGTTCGTTTCGAAGCGCACCAATTGCAATCGGATACCCATTCCCCCGTACCCTTGAAGATCCAATCTCACATCGCATCCCATCCCCCTGTTCCGTTTTGTACTAGTTTACGGGCTACGGGGTACATATTTTAGGGATCGGAGATTTTATCTACTAGGTTTATGGTAGCGGCGCGTGTCCAATAGGCTGTTCGCCATCTGTGATAGTTTTCGGAGTGGATTTTTGGAGGTTTAAAGGGACTGGGAATTAAAAATTCGCACCTCAACAGCTAGAATCATTAGAATTATACCATAAAGGTCTAGGAGGGTCGAATGTAAGATCAAGGCTTGCTGCAGAGGCGTAACCTAAGCCCAAGCCTATGCCTAAGCCTAAGCCTAAGCCTAAAGTAAGCCAGTTCTCACTTCTCTTCTCGACCCGACTACTCGTACATCAAATTCAAATTGGCTAGTTGTACCCGATCGGCCCGATGGTCATTCCCACGGTTAAAGGGAGAGGGCCCTCGAATCGTCTCTCCCCCCACAAAGGCTTACCCATCCATTGAAAAGCCAAATCGCGGCTTGCGTCGAAAAGCCAATTCTCGCACCATTTCCACGGGTGGCCAATTGACGCAAGAGAGAAAAGGACAGGGGACGGTAAACGGGGAAGGGGGAATGGGGTAGTTCAAGGTTGCTTCCACGAGCCAAAAGGTACGCGTTTATTTGGCCGGGGCTTGGATTGGGTTTAATGGGATTAGGGTCTGCTAGCGGTGGTCGTATGGGAAATTTTTGGGACGCATTATTCGAAAATCGGAATGCTGAAAAATCGGAGAATTTGCTTTCTAAAGGTCAAGAGAGAGCGTGAGCGAAGGAGAGCGAGATAGAAAGAGAGAGAGAGAGAGAGAGAGAGAGAGAGAGAGAGATAGAGATAGAGAAAGAGAGCGAAAGAAAGAGTTTTTTGAAATTCGACATTCGAAACGGCGATGAATATGCAAAACGAAGCGTGCCCGGGTCCCTTTAGGAATCACACTGGCGGCTAGACAGGAAGGTGCGAGACAACACTTGACTTTCAAATTTTTGGGAGCAATTTTTAGAGAAAAAACTGCTTTGCTGAGCCTTTTGAAGCGTTTGTTACAAATGTTGCAATTTCTTGGCCTTCCAGCCTTCCAAACCCTAAAGACACCGACCAGTGCTGGCGTCGAGGCGACGGTGCTCAGCGTGGCGTGGTGCTGCTGGGGTTTTGGCTGTTTGTGAGGGACGTCGAGAGGTGTCTCGCGTCGTCGTTCTGTGGCTCGGACGAGGGCTGCTTGGAAGGCGTTGCCCAGCACCTGCTCGATCTCTTCCACCTGCAAAAATTGAATTAAAAAAGTAAGGAACAGAATGTTATGAGAGAATACTTGGGTTTGGGCTTAGGCGTAGGCTTCGGCCTGGGCTTGCGCATAGGCTTAGGCTAAGTCTTAGACTTTGGCTTACATAAAACCGTTTTCTGGAGCTCGAACTACAGCTTTTTGAGAGCCAAGAAAACGCTGATCCTCCCTTGCAAGCGGCTTTGCCATCCCGATTCCCAGGGCATAAAATAGAGGGCAAGACGGGCATTTGAATAGCCAAGACTGGATTTCGAGAGGCGAGAGAGAGAGAGAGAGAGAGAGAGAGAGAGAGAGAGAGAGAGAGAGCATGTTATCAGACCGAAACGGGTCCCGATAAAATGGGCGGTCGGGGGAAGGATAACCATAGATGGGCTTTGATCGTGGGATTAAAGGGGTTGGCAAGCCAAAATTCGAGGAAAGGAAGGAGAGCGAGCAATAGAGAGAGACACAGAGAGAGAGAGCGCGCGAGAGAGAGGCAGAGACGGAGTGCGAGCGAGAGAGAAAGAAGAGAGAGACATGCAAAACGGGTTAAGGCTTCCAAGGTTCTTCTAACCGCTCCTGTTTAATTCGCCAATGTGAAGCCTCAAAAATGTCCTCCAACGTTGGCTGCCAAGTCCCTTAAAAGGCATAGAAAACCCGGGTTAAATGCTACGCAAGCTACCGTACTCTCGATATCGTCGAAAACCGTTGAAAAAGGATGATTAAAATCTGAACTCGAGGCAAGAGCATAAATCGAAATGTTTGCGGTTGAAGCCTGGGGGGTGAGGGTGGGTATGGAGTCCCCAGGGGCGCCATGAAAAATGGCACATTTTGGCGCGCAACGGGTGGCATTTCTTGACGCTGAGGAGGAGGAGGAGGAGGCGGGCGAGAGATTAATGGGCATGGGAGAGAGAGAGAGAGAGAGAGAGAGATAGAGAATGACTAGATGAAGCCACCGCCGCCCCGGTTCGCCACCTGGAATTTTGAGCCACAACCCGCAGGCAGCCCCACATGCAAATTTATGCCCTCACCCGGGTTTTGGGGGCGAGAAAGCGACCGAGAGAGTGAGAGAGAGCTGAGAGAAGCTGAAAACCCGAGGATTCGTCTAATGGGATATGGCACTTCTGGGGTGGGTGGATTTTTGGCAAGGGATTTCGTGAAATCTGGCTCAGAAACCGAAGCGAAGCTTTGCGGCGTTAAATTAAAGAATCTCTGTTAGCTTGCTCTTAGCTCGTGCTCAATTCATCAATGCCCTCTGCTAGCCTGTCCTACAGATAATCCGCCACTTTTCAAAAATCTCAATGAACTTTGCTAGCTGGTTATCCAGATCTTGCTTCAATCCCTAAATGATCACTGCTAGCTTGTCGATCCGCCAGAAAATCGTAAAGAATCGCTGCTAGCTAGCCTCGTAACCAACCTCTTACCGTAACCTCCTATCACTAAACGACCAACAATCCACGATACTAGCGCATCAACATTCTCACCAAAATCCTAGGCCTCACTTCAGCTACAGTATTCTCTTTCTCGCTCACTCACGAGCCCCAATTGTATCCATTTTCCTCCAAAATCACTGCTAGGACTCGTGCCATTGCGCCACCCCCTTTCGAGGGGTGATTACCGTATTTGGGGCCCATTTTGGCCCTCCCTTGGCCCTTTGAAGTTCGGGGGCGGAACCCGACTAATATGGCGGGTAAACAGTGTTGCTATAGACGGCCGCGGAGGGGGGATGCGTTACGCAATGCTTTGTCTAAACATACCAAGCAAAAGATGGGGCGCCGTTCGCTACTTTGAATACCTGCTCCAAAAGGACTGTGCGAGCCTGTCCGAAGCGGAAAAAAGGATAAGCCTAAGCCAGGCCTAAGCCAAGCCGAAGCGAAACCTAAGCCTAAGCCTAAGCCTAACCGGAGTCAGATTTCCAAGTTCCAAGCTTTTTACGAGCCTCCTAAAAGATCTATGCTAGTTTGCCCAAGGGTTACGGTAGCTAGGACCGGCTTTAAAGAGCTTGTCCACTTTCCTAAAGGATCTCTGCTAGTCTGCCCCAGAGCAGAAAAAGATACGGTAGCGATGTCGGCTTTTAAAGGAGATGGACCACTTTCCTAAATTACCTTTGCTAGCTTGCCAAGGCGGCAGGCAGGGAATACGGTAACTGGCCTAGGTTTTAAAGTTCCAGGTTATTCCGCGCTACGTAGAAAATGAAATCTAAATTCCTTAAGAATCTCTGCTAGCCTGCCTTTCTCGCCTTCCTTTAAGGGATCGAAATTAAAATTCCTCAGGAATCCTACTATATATAAAAAAATAGTGTTTGTGTGTGTGTGTGTGCCACTTTGCATGCAACTTCCGTCATTATGTTCCAGTCGTATCACGATAGGGGAGGAAGTTAAGGGTATGTTTGATACGCCAAAAGGTGCGTAATGGTCATGACACGACTGCACACTTATCAGGTTTTACAAAAAGTGCTATTTTCGACATTAAAATTACATTTTTATGAAAATCCGGGTCCCCCTCTTTGTTAGGAGGCAATTTGCATGCGCCGGAAGTGGCGAAAGCCTATATAAAGGGACAGAAGGGGATGTTTTTCATTTTTCGGCATGGGTGATTCGTGAAAAATATGCAAAGTACAGAATATCATCGGATCAGACGGGGCCAGGGTTGAAAAGTCGCGAAGCGGCTTTTCAACCCTGGTCTCTGCTAATCTACCAGCCATCCAATTTGAAACTAATCACCCTAAATTTTCAAATTTTCCCTCCATTTCCCCCCGACTCAGGAATTGCGTTGCGACAACCTTGAAAAAGGGGTGAAAAATTAGAGGTAGTGCCTTGGAACGCCGCGAAGGAGGACAATAGCAAAATCAATCAGTATTCCACTAGGCGGGGCGGAGGAGATGGAAATAGTAGTGTCGCGGAATGTTGCCACATCCATCACGCCGAAGGTCTCGGGTTTGATTCCCCCTCCAATAGGTCGCTTTTACGACCCGGGGGTCCCGCAGCGAAGACGCGAACATAATTAGGGGTGATGGTGGAATGATTGGGAGGTGATTCGGGGAGGAATTTGGTGTATTTTGTACGTTTAAAGGGACTGGGAAGTAAAATGGAATTCCATGAAAATCTCTGCTAGCTGACCTACGTAAAAAAGATTTCCAAAATCTCTGCTAGTCAATCGAAGCTCTAAATACGAACTCAGTTTTCCCTAGAAATCGCTGTTTGTCGGCCCAGATCGAGTAAAAAACCCTAACGCTAAGATCTCTGTTAGATTAATCATCCAATTTCCCTCAGAATCGCTGCTAGCCTGTCCCCACCTAGGACACTAATTCTCAAAGATTCTCTGCCAGCATGCCCATGCCGCATTTTTCTGATTTTTAGCATTTCGGTATTTCCGGCCCCTTCTTACTTAAAAGCACTCCAGGTTCTTTCAAACCCCCGGCTAGCAATTGGCGGACCCCATTTTATCGCCCCAAGGCAGATGTTTTTAGTGGCCGTCGATAGTATAGAGCCGCAATCTGTCAGCTGGAGGGGGCAGCCATCATGGAAACCAATTCAAGGAATTGCCCCCACTTTATGAGCGTAGCGCAAGATGGTGAGAGTAGAGTTTGGGGTTTTAAGGTTTGAAGTCAAAGCCATAAGCCTAAGCATAAGCTAAGTCTAAGCTAAGCCTAAGCTAAGCCTAAGCCTAACCTAGAAAAAAATTGTTATAGCGGAAAACAAGTGATCTGAATGTGAGTGTAGAGTGAGGGTGTTGGCCCTGATTGATTGGCACGGACCCAAAAAGTATACACATTGGCCGGCCTCTTTGTAGTAGTTAGAGAGGACGAGAGAGAGAGAGAGAGAGAGAGAGAGAGAGAGAGAGAGGGAGAGGGAGATGGAGAGAGTGGGTGAGAGAGATATCCGAAAAGACGATTAGAGCCCACTAATCGTCACAACAACTGTTCTAGGGACACATAGCGCTAGTAACGGCCAAGAAACTTTGCTCGTTTCCATTAAGATAAAATTAAGGGGCGGGACACGAAAGCAATCTGTCTAGAAAAGGATTTCTGCTAGCTTGCCTTCGCGATTTTTGCCTAATTCCCTAAAAATCTCTGCTAACCTGCCCTGCAACCCAATTTTTTGCTAAACAGCCTGCTAGCCGGTATAGTTCCAGATTTTCTGCTAGGCTACATTTGCAAATTCCGATACAATACTCTGTATTACAGTACCCACAGGCTCAAACTACAGTACCTGGAATGGGTCCCGGGTGACGAACACGTGACACTGCCGCCTGTACATTTGGCCGGTGGGCTCGGTGGCTATGTAGGCGACCTAGAAAAATTTAACTAGTTCTTTTTGTTAAAATTTCTAGTTATAGATTGTAGCTTCATCTTCCCTTTAAAACAATTTTTTTTTCTTCTTCATTTTCTACAGTACCTGGCAAGCCTGCGGTCGGGCGATGACGCTGCAGACGCGACGCAGCGAATGGGCCATCAGAACGTTCTGAAAAAGGCTTTTGAAAATTTCATGTTTTGTGATTTTGGAGTTGTTATTTTTAATTTTTGAGATTTTTGTTAGTTTCCCATTCTTTCTTCCCTAAATTTCCCTATTTTCAACCCTCTCTTGCCTCGCTAATAGCTCCGAAAATTCCAAAACTACAGTAGGCCAGGGCCAGCCGGCTGGTCCCATCCCGGTCTGTCAATCACTGCTGGCATTTTGCCCTAGTTTCCGGTGAAGGGAAGAAGATTGATGAGGGCAATTCGAAAAATGCCAATTGTATTGGCTTTGGCTTCGGCTTGGGCTTCGGATTGGGCTTAGGCTTAGACTAGGCTTAGGCTTAGGCTCGCTCAGGCTTAGGCTTAGGCTCGCTCAGGCTCAGGCTTAGGCTTAGGCTTAGCATTAGACATGCATTGTTCAATTTTTCAAGGATGGCTAGACTCTGCCTAAAAATAACCGATTAATCCCCTCCAAAAACGGTAACGATACCTCAAGAAAATCCCCTAATCCCTCATGCCTAGCCATGTCGATTACGTATTCCACCCGTCTAGGGTTGTATTTTCGGGTCAAAAGGTCATTCCCGATCTGCCGTGCCCCGCGACTGTCGACAGGTGCGTGACGGAATTCCGGGGTCGGTCTGTAATTCCCCTATAGGCCCGCCAATTAGCCATGCCTTTCGGGTCCCGACATGTCCAAAGCTCGGCGAATTTTTGAATCGACTCGGGACCCCTCGGCACAGCCTTTTGGCGGAATGCCAATAATTTTCTAGCTGCCCGCCTAGCGCCAGTTGCATTTTATGGCTTTTAGGGCTTAATTATAGTTCGTGGGATGCAGGGAGCTTGCTTGGATAATTGGGGAATGGGCCTCAAAATCGTGCGTAAGGAGTCTCTGTTAGCTTGCCATCCTGGCGGCTTATCGTTTGCTCAAAGAACCTTGGCTAGCTCGCCCTGGAAAAGCTGGAATTTATCAAAGAATCTCTGCCAGCCTGCCCTATCTTGGACCGGATTTGTCAAAGAATCTTTGCCAGCTTGCCCTAGCTTAAGCCAAATTCCTCAAATAACCGCTGCTAGCTTGCCCTGTATAAGGTCGAATTTCTCAAAAAAATCTCTGCCGGCCTGCCCTCGAGTTCGCTGGTCGTTGCAGAGTTTATGCAAATTACGCCCTTGAGCAACGCCTATTTCGCAACGCTACGATGCACAACAAATGGCACCCCAAAAATGCTCATCCGCCAGCTAATCCCCCTCCAGACAACCTGAGCCCCAGCCAGCCCGTGAAATCATCGCGGGTGGCGCAACCCCCGGGATGCAAATCGGGTGTCGATTGGAGGAGAGAGAGAGAGCGTTGGAGAGTGAGATGATACCAGAATCGTTGCGCGCAACCCACCTAGCACTGCATCTAGCGCATCAACAGCTCAGACGGTTGCGCAAGGGAAAAATGGAGGATCCGGACAGACGCTTATGATGCGCCTTTTAGAGTGTTTTTAGGCGTCTATAGGTGTCTAGTGTACTGTTTAAAGTTCTAATTGGAAATTCGATCTAGTTTGGTGGGTCTAATTGGTTACGCAAGGCAAACGAAAGCGAAATTGGTAACTGGGTCCTGGAAAATAGATCTAGGGCAAACTAGCGGAGAACATTTAGGACAGAGAAACAGAGAGAGAGGGAGAAGAGAGAGAGAGCGAGTGAGAGAGAGAGAGAGAAAGCGATTTTCGAGTCGGGGCAAGCTAGCAGAGATTTTTTGAAATTTTTGCCTCTCAAAATTGACCTCTTGCTGCGACACTCGAACTCCAAGCAAGGACACCGACAACTGCACGGATTTCGGGTTTTGCTGGGGGCGGAAGCGCTCCAGGCGGCTGGATACGGTATCCGGATGCGTTGATGAGATCGGGAACGAGCCGGCCATCTGAAATTTGAAATTTTAAGGATTGAATCGGAACCAAAATAAACTCGCTCATGACTTTAAAAAAACCGCCAAGGCAAGAATGTTTGGTTTTCGGAGTTACCAACCTTTAACGGGGCTAAAAACCCAGGATTTTCAATTCCGAATCTTTTCCTAGGCACTTTTCTTGCGAATCCGTTTTCTAATCGGGTTTCTGCTCTCGAAGGACCCAAAAAAGTGCGAGCTACTTGACTGACAGTCACATCTGGGCCCCCACAGATGCCCCCACCCCACGCTACTTGTCATTTTTGCTTTTTTTTACCCGACGGGGGGACTGCGCGACCGGATTTATGGGTCCCCGAGGGGGAAGTTGGACACTGGTTTTTGCAATTTTTGGACGAGCAACTGCAGTAAAAAGAAAGTAGAATGCTCCAGATGGTGCGTAGGCAGTAAGCAATAGCATACTGTAGCGGAATTCGGGATGTTACAAGCCAAACTCAAGCCTAAGCCTGAAACCTGAGTCTAAGCCTAAGCCTAAGCCTAAGCCTAAGCCTAAGCCTAAGCCTAAGCCTAAGCCTAAGCCTAAGCCTAAGCCTAAGCCTAAGCCTAACCTATCCCACAACCTTAATTTCTCTGCCAGGTAACTGCTAGGAGCACTAATGGAAAGTTCCACTTCACCCCTATTGACGGATGTGCGAGGGGCGCACGCCTGTGTAAATTCACCCCGCCGGAGCTCGAGTCAAGCTCAACTTTTTGAATTGCCTGCGGGGACATCGAGGGGTTGAGCAAATAGCTGGCAGGTAGAACTTTCTCTCTCTCTCTCTCTCTCTCTCTTTCGCTCTCTCCTCGCCTTCACAGTCCCTTTAAAGTCCGGATCGTTTCTACCAGGATCAAGAAAACAAGTGTCATCACCAACCTGCCCGCCCAAACTTTTCCCTACCCCATAAGCCGGTGATGGTGGTGACCCGGTTAGGGCCCACACTTGAGGGCCCAAAAAGGAGTGGCCTACGACTGTGATTTGGCGTCAAGGGCCCACTTGGCCCTCTAAAAGTTGCCTTCCCGAGGGGGTGAGATGAAAGGCGGTGTCTTTAGCCGCCAGGCAAAGTTTTTGAAGGAGCGGGCCGGGGTCAAAAATGCGCAAATGGTCTTTGCCAGCCTGCCCTGTCCTAAAGAATCTCTGCTAGCCTGCCCTTTCCTAAAGAATGTCCCCTAGCTAGCTGACCGTTCCTAAAGAATCTTTGCTAGCCTGTTCTTTCCTAAAAAACCATGTCAGCCACCATAAGCCTCCCCCTGTTCGCAACGCTACGGTACGCAACTATCGACAGGGCGACGAGGTGAAAAACTGCGGGGCGAACAGTTGCTCACAAAGGGCCATCCCGGGGCCCCGAAAGGGCAATTAGTGGCTTGCGGGGGCTGGAGGGACAACGGAATGACAACCACCAAAAGGGCAACATTTAGCTTGTGGCAACAGTGGTTGAGGGTTTTTGAATGTGTCTGGGAGTGACAGCTGTGGATTTTTGCGGGGCAGGCTAGCAGAGATTCCTTAGGAAAGGGCAGGCTAGCAGAGATTCTTTAGGATAATTTCTTTGAAACCCCATTTTTCATATGCCCATATTTTAAAGGGACAGTCCACCCAAGCCTAGTCCAACCCATTTGTTGCGAGCTGTCAAAACTGCATATTTATGTGTGCATTTGTGGGTGGTTCAAATTAGCATTCCCGCAGTGGGTGATGCCTCACTAATCTATCCGGCAAACAATGGGGCGCTATTTTGGCGCCTTGGGGCACGTATCCGTGTCAGCCCCGAATTTTGTGTCTCTCTCTCCTTCTCTCTCTCGCTATCTGTCTCTCTATCTTTCCCTCTCTCACTCTCTCTCTCCCACCGGCAAACTGGCACGCGCAGTTGGAAGCCCAGGGTATATCCAAGCTATGTGTTTGCGCAAACGGAACGAGAGAGAGAGAGAGAGTGAGAGAGTGAGAGAGAGAGGCGAACTGTGTCCACCCGTGTTATTTTGTGCCCTCATCATCCGGACCGTTTGGCCCCCGGACACTCGAAGCCGAGGCTTGAGAGGGTCAGCCCGAACCCGATAGATAGATGGTGGTAAGCAAAAAGACAGGTAGATATTTTTTGTTTTTTATTTCTGTATTTCTCCCGCTCTCTCTCTCCTAGCTGCCTCTCTCGCGCTCTCGCCCTCTCGCCTCGGGGTTTAAGGGGGGTGTCAATCCAAAAGCTTGGGGCAAACTAGCAGAGATGGCCGGGAATGGCTTAGTGAGCTGTGAGCTCGATAGATTATTCAGTCGAGGGCAGGCTAGCAAAGGTTTTTTAGGAAGAGACAGGCTAGCAGGTATTCTTTAGGCAAAGGCAGGTTAGCAGAGATTATCTAGGAAACGGCAAGCTAGCAGATATTCTTCATTAAAGGGCTGTCTAGCAGCGATTCTTTAGGACAATGCAGGCGAGCAGAGATTCTTTAGGAGCCTTATCCACATCCAAACTCTTGGCATATTGTTTCAAATCCCGTCGGGACCTTGATATGGTAACCTAATCCCCATTCACCCACTCTCCTTGTCCTATCGGCCCCGTTCTAAGACCCTCGAATACAGTATGCCCTCATTTTTATTGGGGGGTCCCGATCAAGTTTCCTTAGGGCCCACCCCCATCGGTCCAACTAGGCATTTGAAAAGCCCATAAATCAGACGTCCAGCCCAATACCGGCCTAAAAAACGATAAAAGCGGGGGGTCCCGGGGGCGGCGCCTTTTTGGGGCGGATTAGCGGAGTGTTGCGGAGCGTTATTGTCTTATTTTTGGACCCTTGTGTATGCGCCAAATTTTGGTACATTTTTTAGACATGACTGCAGGTCCCCAAAAATTTTCAAGGGGTCGTGAAGGCAAAAATAAATTTTAAAAACTAAATCTCGGAACTAAGTTAGAGCAAAACAAAGGAGTCTCACAATTTTTGTGTATCTTTAAAGGGTCATTCAGCCATGGATTCAGATCGGGACAAGAAAAGTGGGAAATTAAAACTTTCCCGCACCTTAAAGCTCTATTTAAGGCCATTTTGGCATGCGCCGAGGCCAGCTGGTAGTAGCGATTGGCCCGAGGCTATGAGAAAGATTACGGTAGTACAGAGTGAAAAAATTTGAGATGCAAATGAGGCGAAATAGGTGGCGCGCGCGGCTTCCGAACACATTGATATCGTGGGGCTAGACAAAAATTGATAAGACGGGTTGATTATGCAATGACACGGTCAAAGACTAGACAAACAAAAGAGGTGAGGAAGCGGGGTAGGCTTGCAGTGATCATTAGCGCAATTCCATCCAGATTTCGTCCAAATAGTTCACGGAAGGGAGGCGAGAGAGCGAGAGCGAGAAGAGAGAGCGAGAGAGAGAGAGAGAGAGAGAGAGAGAGAGAGAGAGAGAGGGGGGAGGGAGGAGAGAGAGCGAGAGAGAGCGAGCAGAGAGAGTGAGCGAGCAGAGAGAGAGGGAAGAGAGAGACAGCGAGAGAGGGAGAGAGACAGGCCGAGAGAGGGAGAGAGAAAGACCGAGTGAGAGAGAGAGAGTGTGAGAGAGACGGACAGGCCGATAGTGAGCGAGAGAGAGGCATAAAAATCCAAAACGATCCCGCATTAATGATGGTCCACAGGAGCCAGAGTGATTACAAAGTTACAAAGCCTTAAAGTTCGAGCAGTTTGGAATTTTTCAAAATCCAACATTCTTAAATGCACTAAAAATTCAGAAAGACCAACCTGTATATCCCAGCTGTACGACATTGTGTGCTTCATCTCCTCCACGGCCGCTTCGTCGAGGGCACAGGGCAGCGAGGAGTACAGTAACGATGTGGACGGGCTGGTCGACGAGTTCAGACCGAGTAGATGATGATAATCAGCAGATTTCTGGTGATCAGACGATGCAGTAGTGGATATAGTTGTGGAAAGGGATGAGGATGTGGTGGTGCCAGAGGGGGAGTGGTGGCCAGAGTCGCATGAAGGGGGCGGAGCCTCGTAGAGAGAGTAGACACGGTGGGGGTGAGACGTGTTGGCACCACCTCCGTAGGATGAAGATACCCACGAGCTGCCGGGGCTGAAAAAGGTTATAATAGTATGGTATCAAATCAATAATTATAATCGTTTTGATAAAAGGACCATAAAAGGCGAAATCTATAGTGAAATCCGGGTTCTGGACTGTTAGCGGGGGGCGTAGTATGAGGAAATCCCTTTTTGTTTTCCACCCGGCAGAGATTCTTTAGGAGAGCAGGCTAGCAGAAATTCTTCAGGAAAAGGCAGGCTAGCAGAGATTCTTTAGAAAAGGGCATGCTAGCAGAGATCGTCTAGGAACCGGGTTTCAAGGCTAAATCGCAAAATTTTAAAGGAGCCGTGAAGCCAAAAGGCGCACTAGCTTTTTCGCTCGTCGGATCTTTCCCAAATAGTTTTTGCTAGCTTGCCATCAAGCCCTCAAAATCTCCGAAGATCTCCCATTGATGTGCCTAACTCGATTCCTAAATTCCTAAAAAAATTCTCGCTGGCTTGCTCTTAAGGTTTCGGGCCGGAAATCTTATAAAAGCTCCGTTTTCTTTCCTGAATGAACTCCGCCAGCTTTCCCTCTACTCGAATTACCATCCTTTCAAAACTGCCGAATTCCCTCAAAAACTGACCTATCATGGCAGCCGCTATCCCGAAAGTTTGTCGGCAGGATGTATTCCGATACTGGCCGCCTGGCCCTCATCGGCTTCTTCTCCTCCTTTTTGTTGTTCTCCTTGTCCTCCTTGGAGATGTTCTTCGACTTGCTCCGGCCCCACAGGGCTGACAGGAATTTGCTCACCATTTCCTGCAAAAACGACAATTATTGGAGTTAGACGGCACTGCAGAAAACACGATGAAAGCACGGTGTGGCAATCTATATACGGTAATTTCTAAGGGCTCTTTTGGCGTAAAAATCGCAATTAAGCAGGTCCGGAATACTGTGGAAAGCGCAAAACAACATTTACAGGAACTTTTCAGGCCAGATTTTGAAAAAAAGCAATTACAGGCACAAGAAACGCGGTAGAAAGCAACGAAAAAATTCTGTAGTATCTTTTTAGGCAATTTTTTGCAAAACTGATAGATCTAGGGGAAAAAATACGGTAAAAAGCAACAACAATTTCTAAAGTCACATTCTCAGCCAGTTTTTTTTTTACAAAAATGACAGTTCCAATGAGCAAGAAATACGGTAGAAAGCAACAAAAAATTCTACGGTATCTTTTTGGGGTCGGTTTTGGAAAACCACAAAAAACAAACCATAAAATATAGTATTTCGTGATCTACAGTATTCCCCCGGAAGTGGGCAAGCCCTAAATCTCTCGCTTTACCCAGATAATCACCAAGCTGGCAGGGCTTTTGGCAAATTTTGCCTGAGGGCATTTAGTGACTGGCGCCCCGGGCAACGTTTCCGGGGGAGTGCGGCGGAATCGATCGTAAAAACCTCAAAATTTGATGCATTGCTATTTCGGGGTTCGGATGCGATCCAAAAAGAATCTCTGCTTGTTGCCGGTAGCCTGGAAAATTAGCCAAAATCCGCGCATTAATGAGAGTTCGCGCGAAACAAATAAGAACCATAAAAATCCCTTTGAGATCAATTTACCTTAAAGACAAGTAAGTCAAAAAGGTATAGAAACCAGCGTTTTTATAGCGCTTTTCCGCATTAAGGAAAGTGCCTTAATCAAAAACTCCTTGAAAATCGCTAAAATAGCATTCTCGACCCCCGATTAACCCCCGGGGGGGGGCACGAAATGCGATTAGCCGCTTTGATAGCGGGAGGTGGAGGACAGACGGTTTCTTCTTCGGGAAAACGCAAAATGGAGTGGCCGGGCATCGAAACATGCCGAATCGAACACAAAACAAACAGAAGCCGCCCACTCCTTTGATGAGTGAATCGAACAGCCGGCACGGGATTACTTCTTTCCCAACGGTCATGGTTGACCTCCAAAAAATCGGTTTTTTAAAGCGAGCAAATTAGCCTTTTTGATCTTGATTTGATTTTGATTGCGGAAAAATTAGTTTCGGCAAAATTATCGTCTAACTATCTTAAATTAACATTAAAAATCAATAAGCTTAGAAGGCAAGACATAGAATTAAAAGCTAGAATTAACCCCCCCCCCCTCGGTCGGCTAGTTCTCGTCGGCTACAAGAAACGCCAAATTACGACGGCGTATTTTTGCGCTGCCGGTCGCTTTAAAGGCATAATACCTCAAAAATATTCAATCGCCGTCAGACCTGACTGGGGCCGGGTTTAATATTGCAACAAGGCCCCGGTTCGGTATCTCCCTATCACCTCGTCAAAATTCGAAAACACGATTATGCAAAGCGATTGGGTGTGGGTGGGGGAGTCGATTGATACCCTGCACCCGGTGGAAAAGGCGGAAACGGAGTGATGTGGAAATGTTTTTGAATAGAATGGAAATGGAAAGAGAGCGGGAAAGAGAGCCAGAGAGAGAGAGAGAGAGAGAGAGTTTGAGAAAAACGGCGAATGTAGGTGCAAAATAAAAAAACGCAAAAATGGCGAAAGACACGGCTCAATAGCGAAGTCTGCCTGGTAAAATAAAATCTGGAAAAACGATGCATTAATGCTGATTAAAAGCTTTAAGACACGTCTATAATCCCTTGAAGCCCAAACCGAAAATCTACAAAGTTACTTCAAGCAAATACGAATGGGTCGAGACTCTTGAGGGCCAACCCCACCCACAAAGCCATGGCTTAATGGCCCCTTTAATGGAATGGGCCGGAAATGGGTATTAAGGGTAATGGATTCCGCCTACGGACTCTTGACACCAGCCTCAATTAGCCGCATGAATTACGGGAAACCGGGGAGAGCAAGCTGGCAGAGATGTTTTAGGAAAATCGCGCAAATCCACGCACTTGGCCACTTGGTGCCGACAGCCCGCGGCAGTCCAAAAGCGTGTGAAAACGGTTCGTTTTTGTTCAACCCTAAGCCTAAGCCTAAGCCTAAGTCTCGTCTAAGCCTAAGCCTAAGCCCAAGCCTAAGAACTCACGGCTACGAAAACCAAAGCCTAATCAATCCACATTCAGCCCAAGAAAAAGCCTAAACCCCAGCCTATCCCATGTAGATAGGGATAGCAACCCATAAAAAGCCGTGAAGATGGCTGTGGGTAGGTAGTGACTGACTGTCCGTTGTGTGTAGGTCCGTGTGCCCAATTTGCGGATGCGGGGGTGCGATCCGGGTTTTTTACCACTCTTACGGGGTTCGCGTTGTTCGCCGCGGTGAGCCAATTCCAAGGCCATGCTCAAAACCCCGCGGGTTGGCTCTTCCCCTACCCCTCTTCCACCTCCTTAGCCTTCAATAAATTTGCTGGCCATCTCGACAGGTGGCCGATGAATGGGCCAACATGGAGAGGGAGAGAGAGAGAAAGAGAGAGAGGGAGAGAGAGAGAGATGAGCTACTTAAGCCAGAACCCGATCCACTTGAACGACTTCCTCACCGAATTGCGCGAATCCCAAGCATTCAAGTCAGCTTGGCCAGCTGCCCCCGTTATTTTTTTGTTGTTTTGTGTAGCTGTCAGAAGTAGTGTTGCGTAACAAAGATGATCTCAAGTGACAGGAAAGCCAAATTTATACACAATGCCTCAAAAATCCGGCAAAAATTTTTAAAGGGACTGGCAAGCCAAATCCATCGGTGAACACCCGCTGTTTATCCAAGAACCAGAGTAACTAGCGAAACAAATTTTTAAAGGTACCCGCAAGGTGAAAATCTACAGGTAAAACCCGTTTATGGGATTTTTGGGCATGCTAACGGCCAGCTAGCAGAGATTCTTGAGGAAGGGGCAAGTTTGGCTCCCACATTTTCTGTCTCTATCTCTCTCCCCCTCTCTCTCTCTCTCTCTCTCTCTCTCTCTCGCTCCCTCCTTCTCTCTCTTCCGAATCTCTCTCTTGCATTTATCCGTTAGTTCCCACAGGTTGTGCCATTCCTTGATCCCACCCGAGATCGGGGCCATAATATCCGTTCACACGGTTGGCGCAATCCAAGAAGATCAAGGCCCCCCTGCCGCCCCCGGCAACTTTTCCGCCCTACTTCACTTTAGAATGTTTATTCTGGCACCCGGGGGGACTGGTCTTTAGCTGAAGTACACGATACGCAACTTCCCTTAAAAGGCGATCGGCAATGGATAAGTAGTGGATTAGTTGTAGCGACGAGTGTAGCTATTCGAGAGGTGAAGGAAGGCAGTCAAACGGGTAAAAGACACCAATTATTGTAGGTGTTCAACGACGAACTAAAAGCATATTGGAGATGTGAGCAGGTCCTCAAATTGTTCAAATTTTATTTAAGGAAGGAGAGAGAGAGAGAGAGAGAGAGAGAGGCAGAGACAAAGACATGAAGCATGAATAGCCTCGAAATGGTGCCATGGTGTCAATGTGGGTGGTTGGTACCCCGGAGGCGACTTCTTCCGGAGAATCTGATCGTTCGGCCATCCATCAATCCACCGGGTGACGCGTCCAATTACCAGCCTGTCACCCCCTACACCCCAGAGATTCTAACGGTAGATTCCGGAGGTGGAGGAATTGTCTTGCTTTCTCTCGCTCTTTCTCGCTTTCTCTGACTCTCTCTCTCTCGCTCTCTCTCTCTCCCCAGGTGAAATCCGCGAAACAACCCTCCGCCCATTTTCTCGATAAATTCCCCGGAAGATCGCTATCCTCCTGAAGCTGGAATGTTTAGCGCGTTCCCCCAAAAAGTGAATTTGGCAACTAGCAGAGTTCTTTTGGGATTAGCGAAGGCAAGCTAGCAGCGTTTCTTTGAGGAATGGAGGTCGAGCAAGGTTGAAAAATTATTGTGATTCCAATGATTCCTCGAGGAATCTGAAAGCAAGGCCTTTAGAGAGCTTTCAAGTAGGCAAGGCAGGCTAGCGGAGTTTATTTGAGGAACTGTCAGCTGTTCCTCGACAACCCCTTTAAAATCGCCGTTCATCAGCCGGGTGATGAGGGAAAATGGAGCACGATAATCGGGTGGAACTGGTATTCGGTGGGGAAGTAGATGACGACCTGTGGGGCGGTTGAATGGGATAGGTAATTGATATGAGAGAGAGCGAGACAGAGAGAGATCAAAAAGTTAAGTGGTTCCAGTGAGGAAAAGTTAATGGGGGAACCAGATTATTCTACAATTTATGTGGTGGTAGTTAATTCGAGTCCAAATTCCGAGAATTTTCGACATCGGAACAGACAAAGAAAGAGAGAGAGAGAGAGAGACAGAGAGAGAGAGAGAGAGAGAAAGTTGCTCGCTCCTTCCTGAAGCTGCTAGCTTGTATGTCCTTAAAGATCTCTGCTAGCCTATTCGCTCGCTTCTAAATAACCTCTGCTAGCTTGTCCGATCCCAAAAAACCCGGAAAAGCGTACCCAGCGTGCAGCGAAATCAAATAGTGGGTGAAGGTGGGGTGGAATTGGGTCATCAGCGAGTGAGATGCGACGGCTTTTCTATCGGGTCAAGCTTTTTAGAGAGATACGCCGGCGATAGGACAGGCTAGCAGCGATTCTTTAGGCACCAAAATTGGATAGTCAGGTACAGGAAACGAGCAACCTAGGCGACCCTGAAAACCGCCCGGAACATGGAGTCCAGTGGAAAAAAACCCAGGGTGCGCTGAAAGGGGGAGTAGATTCAAATCAACACTGATTTCGGGTGACAGCTGCCCGCCCCTGAATTTCCAGGCACCAACCATTCAAAAGGCACTTTTCGCCCCCCTTTTTTGGGTGGTGCAAATATGCATCTGCCCCCTATCACGACTCCGAAACCCCTTTCACCTGCCAAAACTTTCGGAATGGGCAGATTTTTTTGTTTTTCCG